CTTTTTATATCTCCCTGAAGACTTGAATGTGCTCAAATATGGTTTGTCTCATGGGAAGCTTCTGGATGTGCCATAGCTCTCTTGATTGTCAATAGAGGAAGCAGTTTTAGCTGCCCTCATAGGCCCCATTGTCGCTCTAAAAACACAGGAGAGAGTGGGAATATGACAGATGGAGGCTTCGCACCCTCACAGAATACTTAAGCTCTCACTATTGGGATCAAGGACCCTGTTGATTAAGTTTTCAGTCAGCACCTTGAGCCATATCCATATTCATGAGAATCAAATACTAACCTGTTATCATTTATATCTGTGGAAACATTTGCATCAATTATGTACATCTGTGGAGAGAAGTCCAAACTGATTAACAAAGACGGCTCTATTTGCCATCCATGTGTGTCGAATTCCTCCAGATGGGCATCAGGTTGCTCGGAAGAGTGTGGGCGTCTTTATTTTGATGTTCATGTTTTAAGACCTTGACCCCTGACCCTCACAGAAGGTCACCTCTGACACGCCACGCAGAGGGCTCATGGTGTGGGTCAAGCCTGTGTCAAACTCTCACCTCGTCAGCTTTATTGTCCCAGGGAGTTTAGGTTGGGGGCACCTACGGCTGTCACAACAAGTCCCATCATTCATCTGTGATAGGCAGGGTCCTTTGGCCCTCCGGAGACTCGTATTCTATCCTTACGATGGCAGCTGGGAAATAATGATGTTGTGTTAGAGGTAGTGGCAAGAAAAGGACATCTAGTACACCAGATAAGTGATGTTCAATCAGGGCAAGAATGGGACAGGAAAGACTATTTCAGAGTAGCTTAACTTGTTGGACAAACTCAAAACTGTACGATGATTTGTAAAATACAAACAGATAATGAGCTGTAACACTCAATTAGTAGACCTTAATGTTTTTATACTGAGAGCAGCATTTTAGCCAGCAAACCAAAAAATCAAAGCAGGGAGAATGAATGTATTTGAAGATTATTTTTAGCTAGAAGCCATAAATAAATACATAGATAATTGATTGCAGAAAAAGTTTAACTCTACTTAAAAGATTAGCTAGAAGCTAGAAGACTTTTGGTAGTACAACATCTGGACTAAACTGACTTTAATATCAGTTTAATAAAAAAACTGGAACAACAGAAGGAATGAAAATCATTAGCCACAAAAACAAATGGTGAAGCTGCTGTTAAAGTCTGGTCTGTTTACAAATCTCCCTTTAATTTGTGTTGAACAAAATCATTACTTCAGATACACATTCACAAAATTGCATGTGTACACCCCCACACCGGATAAACTTAATAACACAGACGCAGACCCTAGATGCATTGCCCACCCATTGTAACAGCCCCCCAAGTTGAGCCATGTCTGTGATTAAAATCTGCGTCCCACTTGTGTACAGAAAAAGCTGCTGTCCAGACAGCAATGTGAGCAGTCGGCTCCTTCATTACCCTTGAAGGAGGCTCATATGGTGAGTGGGTGATATTAAAGTGGAGGAGGTTAAAAATGGCTTGGAGCCAGTGTGTACTCCGTCGTCTCTGACCGAGTGTGCCGTGTAGTTCATGCTGACCCAGATGCTTTATAATGGACAACAAGATTCTAGTGGATAGTACGATTATTATCAGTTTTGTGGCATACATCTAGATTAAACTTTAAACAAAGGCAATCATTGCACTGTTTTCTCTCTTTTTTCCCCATTGTCTGTCTGATTATTCCCTCTTGTTATGGTAAGACAAGCTGACCTCTGACCTATAGGGTTCACACTCATAAACCCACTTCAATCTGGTTTAGACACATGAAACAAGTAAATCCAACATTTATCAGGTCCCTGCAGTCAGTTTAAAAGTGTAGTGGCTCTGGCCCTATTGTCTGGCCTCTTTCTTGCTCTCTAGTTGCCCATAATTATGTTGTTTGAGTGCAGTTATCCGGGATCACTGATTATTATCCAGTCAGGCCATACTGGGAGCAATTGAGACTGGGAGGAGTTCATGTTCCTCCTATATCGACAGACACAGGAGCAACTGGAAATGAGTCTGAGTTCTGATAAAGCATGACGCCTGACCCTCAGACTTGTCATACGTGATTATTTTCAGAGCATCTTTTAGCCCCTTTAAAAAAAGACTCCAGCTAAGCTCATCGGGATCAACACATCAGCGCAGTGTATTGCTCAGGAAGGCAGAAAGCTGCTCTTAAGGCATCCATTTGGTTAATTATTTTCACTCACAAAAGATTCTGTTGAGCTTGGCTTTTTCCTCTCAAAAGTCTGACTCGTCCAAGTTGGACCGCTGCTGATACACTTTCTGATTACTCAGGGTGCCTGAATGCACCAAGGGGTATTTGATTAATTGCTAATCTAAAAGTACTGCAATAAAGCATATCAAACACAACAACAACAACAACAACAACAACAACAAGAAAATCTCTTGTTACATGTATGATGATTTATCTTGGGATACGGGTTTTTTCCACTAATAAACCCAAGCATCTTTCTGTTATTTGAGACAACATTTCCCCTGCAGCTAAAAGTGTGTTTGTGTTGACAACATCTGTAATGAGTGATTAATTTAGGTCTATTTTAGGTCAGCTGGTAAAAGATGGAGACTAACGTTGAAGCTTGCTGTGTACGATATGTTGAAAATATGGCCTTATAAAAACTTGTAGAATAGAGAACTTTAGCTGGCAAAATGAAATGATAATAATAATAAAAAAAAACAGAAATACTAAATGATAAAAATTAGTATTCAACACTTCCTCTTGATTAAGTAAATATGTATGGCCTTTTTTAAGTTAACAGAGTACATTTATATAGTAATGCATACGGCTGCACAGTCCAATAGGATGTATTATGTTGAATTCATAGTAAATCAATACACGTAAAACTCATTGGATATACCTGATATGTGACTGTACAGCATAAAAAAAAAATGTGTTGCTGGCATCTCTAGTGACCCCACGTGATGAGGAAGCAGCAGATTTTTGCAGCTGCATATTAATGGAGGATTAAGGTTCTGTTAACAGGCCATCTTCTTCCGTTTTCTCTCTCTCTCTCTCTCGCTTTCACTCTCACTCTCTGCCCCCCCCCCCCCATGACCTTTTAATTATTGATTTTTTTGCCTCCTCACATCTCTTTCCTTCTTTCCCCCATCTCACTGCCTCTTTCTGTCCTTTTATCTTTCCAGCCTTTTTACTTCTAAAAAAATACTCACAACAGCAGCTCATTTCTCAATACACACAAAGTAGCACACTGACAGACATAGACACACACACTAGCACACAGCCACACACACTTGCTCTTGTCTTTTCTCTCTTCCTCTCCTCTTCCTCCCTGACTCGTCTCCATATTAAAATGCATTGCCGCTGGCCGCTAGCTGCAGTGTCAGCAGGGGGGGAAAAGGGAAGGTAATTCATACCCGGCTGTCACCCAGGCTGGAGGTGAGTGAGCACACCTCTCTCCTGAGGAGACAGCCTGAAATGAGCCCAGCGGAGAAGCTTAGAGGCATCAATAATCCAGCTGCTCTCCATGCACTAACTGCAGCCTGGCACAGTCTCATTAAACATGGTGTGCTCATCGTGAAGCCATATTTGTGCAGAGGGAGCTCAAACTGAGATGAATGGTTTGTCTCCCCGTGTGTATCCCCCGTTAGCACACACTTGAGCAGTTGTTGGAGTAAATGAATAATAATATTTGCTCAAAATTGCATATTTTACTGTGCAGATGATGCCAAAGGTATCCCTGGAGATGTGACTCCTGCTCTGGGATATCAGCATGTGAAAAGCCCTTGACATGTTTACTTCCACATGATGTTTCAGTGTGTTTTCCATGGAGCAGCAACCGGGTCCTGTGGGCACTACTGTAAATAGGCTGCCACACCTACCATTGGGACTGCATTAGGAAACCAAGGAGTATACACACACACACACACACACACACACACACACACACACACACACACACACACACACACACACACACACACACACACACACACACACACAGAAAAATACCTCAATGCTTCCAGTGGCCACTGCCATAATACTTAGACAAATACACATGAGTTAAAGTAGCCAAACTAATCCACAAACATGCTAACAATGTGCATTTGATGTTGAAAAACATGTCAGGGAATAAGAAACAGCTATGTAGGAGTTACATGTTTATATAGTCAGATAATAGTTAGGTATAGCTTCATAATTTATCGGCACATTTCTGCTTATATATATACCGCCAATGGGGCACCACCTCATTTATGCACCCACAATGAGAGCCCATGCATGCCAACAAAAAACTTTAACATGTTATCTGTAGGGTAAGGTTTTGTAGAGCCTGAATCAGACAGCAAATACAAACCTGAATGTATGTATTTGATAAAAAAAATACATGACTAACTCGTGTTAGAATTAAATGTTGTTTGCCTTGTTTTGTGTCTGTTTCTTAAACAAAGAGACTGTCACACTAAGAGTAAAAAGCACCGTCTAGTACAAATGGAACATGGTGTTCTTAGATTAAGAAAAGGGTGTGTACATGTCAGTATTGACATTGGGACCACCTAAAACAAGTCTGAAATTATCAGTATATCAGACACTGGCAAAAATTCAATAACATGCATTGTAAATGAATCGCATAGATCCCTCCTTGGATTCCCAGCTGGGTTTTTAAAAATAGGTAGGGTTGACCAGGACCCCCTGTGAGAATTGCACCTACTTGTTTAGTACCTCATACAACCCCACATAAAAGAAGAACTATCCCTTTAACCCATAAAAAGAAGCAATGAACCTATGTAAGGTAACATCCATCCCCAGCCTGCAAACCCCTGACTAAAATCTAATCCTTATTCCAACCTTAGAGAGAAAAAGAGATGTGTATAGAGAGAGGAAGACGGGCATACTAGTTTCACTTTTGAAGTGATATACAAACAAGTAATTTCTGCCAGGCCACCGCCAGCTCAAAATAATTATTTACACACCCCCACCCCCAAAAATGGCTTCCAGCTCCATTCCTTCTCTCTCCTTTACCCTCGGGATAATTCTGTCCCCGGTATTTTAAGAATCTGTCTCAGGATAAGATAATCCAGTGACAGCTGCTCTCTAATTTTAAGTTTAGGCCTTGAGGATATGGGTGTCACAGAGGGTGCTGAGAGCCGCTGGATGTAAAAGTTGGCAGAAAAGCTGCAGGTTGCATGTAAAGAGCTGAATCTTGTTTCACCAGCAGTCACTGACAAACTGTTCTCAGGGGCTCCACAGAGGTCGGGGCCTGACCTCAGTGCAGGGAGTGCAGCAGCAGCAGTCAAGTTATGATATGCTCCGAAGATTTTATCTTTGTTGCCGTGGCAACAGCACCTAAAGACAGATGAAAGAACGTGCAGTGACACCTCTGAAGCACCTTCTTTGTGAGTGAGAGGATGACTGAAGGGTTTGTTCTGGGAGCTGATCCTGTCGTATAAAAATATACAGTTTATTCATTGTGTCAGTAAAGGATTGCTTGTGTGTGTGTGCGCGCGCACGTGTGTTGTGTGTGTGTGTGTGTGTGTGTGTGTGTGTGTGTGTGTGTGTGTGTGTGTGCGTGCGTGCGTGTGTGCGCGTGTGTGTGTGTTTGTGATTGGTCATGTGGTCCTCTTTGTATCCCTGGGTGATTATTTGTTGAAACCCGATATGATATCATCCAATGATATCAGGCTCTGCTGCTAGCTGGACCCTCTGCTGTGTCACTCATCAATTATTCTGTTGCACAGCTTCCAGTTAGTTCATTATCACGCATCAGCTCCAAACTATTGATGTAATGAAATGTTTTGTCAGTTTAGTTTCTCATTCATTCATGTCAATAAGGCTCTGGGATCAGAATTGACATATGCATTTTCAGGGTCACATGTGAAGGTTGTGCATACTGTCTAAAGGCTGATGTGCAGATCCCTAGACCGACTTTGCTCATTTTCACCTTTCATTATATCAGTCCAGGACACTAGTTTACTGGTCCTACTGTTCTGTAGTCATGAAATGACCTTTACAGAGACCACCTGAGGCCAGCCATTAGCTCCCAATTTTTGGTCATTAGCTATTGTTACATTAGCTGCTGTTATAATGTGATGATTTGTGGTCCAGAGCCTTCATTCAAAACAGTGAATAATCATATTAAAATACGAATCAGCTTAACAGGTCTCCTTTGAAATCTTTAGACAGCAGCCTGTAGGTTCATGCAGTGCAGATGACCCTGACCTCAGGAGGAACACAAGCCAAAAATAATGATGTTATGAGTAAGAGACCTCAATTACAAACTGCTTAAATGCTACACAAAGGGAAATTTAACTGTGTTTTTAAATTTGTGATATCAAGTTGGCACAATATCTGTTGACTGTAATGTTAAATGTGTAACTGAACAGAATCAAAGTGGACCTTTCTCTTTCCTGCACATGGAGTCTAACCAGCCTTACCCTGGAAAGGACCAAGTATGAAAAATTAGTACTCTAATAAAACAAAAAAACAAATGATGATGATGATGATGATGATGATGATGATGATGATGATGATGATGATGGTGATGATGATGATGATGATGATGATGATGATGATGATGATGATGATGATGAGTTCTTGTTATTTTTCTGACACGTATGTGTTTGGCAATGACAGTTTAAAACATGGAAATAGTCTGTTGAAAGACTCAGCACCACTTAAACCAGTATAGATGTAGAAATGAGGCGATAGCCTAACAAAGAGCTGCATTCACATGTCGACAAAATCAGTCATGACCCTAATCAGACATACCTCTTAGCCTTACAATAAAATCAAGGGATGAGTAAAGGTTAAAACATAAATACCACCCATAGTAAAGCTGTTGTGAATAAGGAAACAAGCTATAGAGACCAAAACCATTACTAGCTCAGGGTATCTGCGTACAGGTACATAGAGCAGCAGCAATAGCAGAAGTCCTCCATGTTATTGTCACTGGAAATGTCTCTCATAATTGGTGGTTCATCTTGGGGAAATTAAACTTAAACAAACATGTGTCAAGGGTCCAGAGGGGTGGAGTGTTCCAGAAGTCCAAGGTAATAAACTTGTCCTGAAGCTCATTTTTGGTCCAGCGTCCTGCTGCAGCATCCTGCTGCAGGTTAACCTGACCCTTACTGTGAGGCTGCAAATTAAATTCCACTGAGACAGCCCTGTTTCAAAAACAATCATAGTTTACATTTTTCTCATTTCCACTTATTACTTTCCCTAATGTCACAACCCAGCTCTTGAGGGGAAAGGATGAAACATAAAATCCTAGTTTCGTGATGTAAAAATTATTTATTGTGAAAGGAAATAATGAAGTGTTGTTTTACAAAAAGTTGAGGCGAGGAACAGAGGGATGTGAAATGCTGCTCAAAGAAACAAATAAACAACAAAAGGCGACTCTAAACTAGAGTGTGAAAAATGTCACTTTCTGAAATTAGCTCAAAATAGCCGTTAAAATGTATCAAGGAGTGAACAGCTTCCTATCCCTTACAATACCACAAAAAAGATATACAGTTATATGGCCTCCACTCTGAATGCCAACACAGATTTCCTGACAAGAAATTGAGCGAACACAGACATTACCAAACAACGCAAACAGGGCAACACATACAGTAAACACCCAGAGCAGGGGGGTGGCTGTGGCTGTAACACCCAAGCTCATATCAGAAAGGTCTGACCCCTCGGCTGAACAGGGTTAGTGGTACTTTCTCAGCAGTGGGTGCTGTGCCTGCAGAAGGAGCCAGCAGAGACAATGTCAGAGCCGAGTCAGGCCTCTAGCGGCGTGATGGATGTCCCCTCTGCCAGCATCCTACTGGGTGTGCTGAGTCATTCTACGCATTCCCAGCATTCAGTGGGGATGCAGCAATGGCTTCACTGCTCCAATTACTTATCAGGGGTCAAAGTCCACAAATAGCCCAGTCCTCTGCAGAGAACAATATGCTTTATCCTGCTAGTCTGATTCAGAGGTCCATCCTGTGATCGGCACTTGAATCAGCAGCTCATCTCTGTAATAACCACAGTTTCATTTTGGATATGAGTCATAAAAATACACCGAGCTTTGTCTGTCCCTTGAGGGTTTATGTTTTCAGTTTACAGTCTCTATCTGCAAGAAAGAAATGGAGCTATAAATACAGCTTTGAACTTAAGGGCTTAGAGTCTGTTTCATTAATCAATGCCAGAGCTCCTGCTGGTTGTGCATCTTTTTTTCCCCTTCCTAAACACTTCAGGCAGGAATTGTATTACTTTAAGCTTCTTCCTTTTGAATGCCTTGCATATGATTAATAAAAATGAGGATGGGTGTCTCTACAGGAGAAGTTTATCATCTGTCTGATAAAATCTTTCAGCACTTAAAAGGAGAAAACTTCACCTAAATGTCACCTTTGAAAATAAAACAATCACCATTGTGAATCCCTAAAAGCAGTGTTGTCTCAAACACAGTGCAGTTGGCTGCAGCACTTGTGTTATTGTAGGAGCCAGATCTTCTCTAAACACAGTCTAAGTATATTCTCCTCCTGCAGCAACAGCAGTCACTCAGGCTTATTTAAGTCCACGTGATGCATACTTTAGGCCTGATGGCAATGCCACAATCTGTTTGTTGTGACAGCCAGTGACAGACCTGATGTGATATTTTGAGGCAGGAGCGGAAACATGTTCGTATATTCATATAGAGTTCTCACATTTATAACACTAAGTGAGATTATACATTTGCAAATTGCACAAATCAGAAGCAGTTGGAGCTGTCTTTTCTGTACGTGCAGGTATAAATCTGAACTCAAGTAACAGGAGTCACCTCTTCCTACAGTTTTCTCCTCTTCAAATTTGTTATATCTAAAAACCTGAAATGACATCTCCATACATTGTGCCCACGCGCCGGATCAAGAACAGGAAATAAATCTCACACGGTAAAAGTATTGTGGAGTGGGAATCCTGGAGGCGGACAGGTCCGTTGTTCCTGAGAGTAAATTGTAGAATAGTGCTTCTGTCAAAGCAATATCACAGAGAGCTCCAAGCAGATGGCTGAAGTCAGTCTGTCTTCAGGGGAGCAGCATGCTGTATCACTCAGGTGGGAGCAGCGTGGAAACAGTAAATCTTTATCATTACATGTACAGTCTCAAGTGGTCAGTGGTTGATTTTGGGTCACAAAATGATACAACTGTGACAAAGGTTGTCCATAGCAGCTAAACTAACATATGGACGGATATGGAACAGAGGAAGTTCTGCAAGAATCTAGAGAAGCAATGACAGAGTTTCTCCAAACAGTTGGGTTTTTTTTTCTTCACAGTGTGGACCAAAATGTGGGTGTTTAATTCCAAGACTCCTTTATTGGCTTGAAGTCCTGAAAAGAAGCTTTTAAACAACATTTTGAAATAAAGCACAGGCGACTAAAAAGGGAGTGGCAGGTTAGAGAAAAGCTGTGGGCAGGTCGGATGTTTTTAAGAATGAATCTTCCTGTTGTTACAGTTGCTGGGTGCCACAGGCAAACCAAACTCTCTAAAAATACAGTGTGAATGTCATTCTCCTTTTTGACCTGACCACTGACCTGCCAGGCTGTAACTTTGTTTACACAATCATAGACCTTTATTTCAAATCCCAAAGCAGAGTCTGAAAAAAACATCATCAAACCTCTGTGGCTGAGTTTTAAGAAGACTGAGACAGTATTCATCTATTTTTTATTGAAGAAAATAAACATCTCACAAGAAAATGTACGGTGTATTTGTAAGTACAATAACAGCTCAAAGAGGGGCACAAAAAGCTAAGTGTCTGATGCATTAAGGGAGGGTTTCCTCTTTTTGAAAACAGCTTTGGATGCTGCCAGTTGAAGGAACTGAGAGCAAATCTCATCTATTAGTCATGAGGTTTAGGGTGGGCTAAAGTGTATCTGCAGAGCTTTGTGCAGTGCTGCAATACTCCTCAGCATGTGTTCCCCCTCCTGCATGCCTCTCCCTCCTCTCCTCTGGATCCCTCCTAGCTTTGTTTAATAATGTTGAGTCATAATGTGGTGGAGGTAGAGTCACCTCCCGCGCCCCTGGATCTGCCTTACACTCCTTTTTTATGGCTTTGAAGATGAAAGGTTTAGCTGATCGTATTCATTAAAAGCTGTTAAGTTATATCCTTCCACACTCATTTATCAGGTGGAGTTATTTAGGCGTGGAGTCAGGGGAGTTGTGTGGTTTTGAACTTAAATTTTCCCAAAGGGCTCCATTTCCGATTTGATCAAAATTAAACTGTATGCATTTTTAACATTTTAAAGGTTAGGGGTGCAAGCTCAGGTACTTACTCAAAATCATGCAATAAAAAATGGCAAATAAGTTTCTATTTCTCTGTTTGGTAAACTTTCTGTAGACCTTTATAATTCACAGCAGACAGCCCTATTTTCCTCCCTCATAACAGTACTTCTTTATATAATCCACAGGGTTTCAAATGGTTGATTCAGCCCAGCAGCACAGTTGCTTCATGCAACTGTTTGTGTGAAGGACAGACTCAAAAGCCCACAGCAGCTCTGGACTAACTCCATCTTGCCATCTTTCCTTATTGGTGAACCTAAAACCATACACCTGCACAGCTGTCCTTAAAGAGCTACTGTAACTGAGTTGGTATATATAAATTCTCATACAGAGAAAGTTTCATATGGGCTGTAGTAAATAGATCATTCTGTAAATAAATATGCATAACAGAGGAATCACTTGCTTTCAGTTCAACATGTTCAGTACATTAAAGTCCCACAGAGACAAATCATTTTGTTTATACATCCTTACAAACAGAAGGCAAAACCAAATTAAGAGTATTAAGAGGATTAAGAGTTATTTCCATACAAAGCATTTAAATTTGCCACTAACTCAGGAGAAGTCTGGTTAATGAGAAAAACAAGATCATTAGGATAAAATGTAGTCCTCTTGGCTCATATTTTCTTTCTCTGGGAAGAATTAATATCTTTGAACGACTGGTGTTCAACTCTTTGGTCATGTTAAAGAAGCTTAGAGAGTCTAAAAGAGCACTGAAGCTGTTTTCGCAATGTATGGGGTCCAGCCTTAGAAGGGCCGCTTAATTTGTCTTATATGCAGTAGTTTCTATCGTTGCAGCTTCAAGTATAAGTGAATATTTTTCACTGCGTTTTTGTATTTTTGTGCTGCTCTGATGATGAATATTAGGGTTAGTTTGTCAGAGAGATTTTTGAATCCTTATCAATGGCTTAGCAACAGTGAAGATGAAGATGTTCAGTCACTTTCTGGATATTTTCTTAGGATGTATTTGTGTCAGGAAGTGTCAGTCTATCAACAACTACACATAAGGTGCATTTGCTGGAAGGGGCTTGAGACATACTACCACAATATGTATCCCTAAATATGGCCTTTGTGCCGAGCTGCCACCCTCCTCTATCCTCTGACCCACTGTCTGAAGTATTTGACATGATAAAATCTCAAAATCAATAAATTCATAAATCCTGATGCAACACCAATCTATTTTTTTGATGTAGGAAGTACAGCTTCTAAAAACCTTAGAGAACAGCTAACTCTGGATGCACTTGACAGCACAGGAGGGAAAAAGGTCATACACTCTCACACACACACAGTTGCATAACGTGACATGGCAGTGCTGGTGGCAGCTATCAGCTGGCTGCTGCACAGACGGGCTGCTGTGGCTCTCATCTGTCTAACATGAGATAAACACAATGTCAGGCTCACGTGTACAGTGGAAGAGAGGGGGGAGAGGAGAGGAGAGGAGCTTATGTTTGGAAAGCAAGATGTAATGCACTCTCAGTCTGCCCTTTGTTTATATTTCAGGCAACAGCAGACAGATTGTCTAAAAATAAAAACATGGATCTGTGAAAAAAAACACGAAATTAATGTCACCTCATTATATAATCCTCATGCCTTGACAAATACCAGCGGGTGAGTTTCAACACTCAGCAGCCACTTAAAAAAGTGATCAAACTGAGGTAAACAGAACTGTTAATGTCAGTAGATGACTAAGTGGTTGCAGCCACAGTGAAAAATTAGCCAGCAGCTGCCATGTTATTCCCAGAGCTCATCCACTCTCAGTTTCTGCAGGATTGTTCTGCATCTGTGAGAGACGACATGGAGCGATGAACAGATGCCGATCATTAGCAAAGAAATAACACAAAGGCTGTTTTCCCAAAGCTGATGACCAGACAGGCAGATTTCAAAATCAGCCTGACAGGAACATGTAAATTATATAACAGCTGTACAACAAGGAAAAAAAAAGAAGTGAATATCACATGATCCATTTATATTGTAGTTTTGTTATTACTTCAAAGTAAATAAAAATACACAGGAGCATGAGATCTGTGTAGTACCAGAACCATTAGTGGTTAAAGTACGTTAAAATAGCAGAGTAATGAAATGCTTTTTACTGGCATATACTTCATGCCACCCCTGTGAGTGCTAAGTAAGTGCCCCAGTTGGGTTAACCCCAGTAAAAACCACAGCCCAGTCTGGACATATTCCTGACTGCCCCAGAACAAGCAAGTCGACTATTTGCAGAAATCTCATCATCAACATGCAAGACTTCAGATTATGTTTAAATATGCTGACTGATCTTAAGAAGCAAACTGCATTTTTCATCTTTCAGACTTAGACGTTTGTTCTCAATTAATGCAGATGATAGAAGACGAGAAACATGATTTACTTCAAGTTCAAATTTTTTTTCGTATGATGGTGCAGAGAGGTAATATCCTAGTACATACATCCATTATAACATGTAAAAGATTTTATTTTTGAGCCTACATGTTTGAATAATTGTGGCTTTGTTTGAAAAAAGAAACAAACAAGCAAAAGCAGCTGTTCACTGTTTAAAATATCTTTAATGGTTCAGTTGGTATAGGATTTGGAAGCATTAAGTCAAGACATGGTCAGCAGCCATACAAAACGAAACCAACTAATCAAAATCAACCGAGAGAAAAAATAAAATACAAAGGCCACACAAAAAAAAAAAACTCCAAAAGAAAAAAAAACAATTAGGCAGAGTCAGATCATCACAGTAAAAAGACACATTGATCCTAACCAAACTCAACAGCATGCCGAAAATTAAAACTGGAGCAGGTTTAATGGTGTTCACATTCATGCACACACACACACAAGCATCCACACATCCATCCACAACTTAAACAAAGGCTGCAGAACAACCCTGATAGTTAAAATGTACAGTAAGACGCCTTTTCTGGAGAGAAAATAAAAACAAAAACAACAAAAAAAAAGAACAATGCATAGACAAATAAAGAATGTTTAAAAAAGTAAACATAAAAAGACAAATTTCTTTGTCATTAGATGGACAATGTGACAGATCTGTTGGCAGCGATGATTGCTGAGGACATTCAAAAAGAAGTTATTGCCAACAAGTTTCAATGGATAACACTTTGCCCACAGAAAAAAAGAAATCTTTTTTTTTTTTTCAAACATTTTAAAAGAGCTCGTAGCTTCCACAGACGCCTAGACTGTACAAACTATGGTCACTGTGGCAAGGCTTCAAAGATCCTCGGCTCCACTTAAATGAACATTATAAATCACGAGGCAGACATGCTTGGCTTCAAAACATAACGTTAGTTATTTTAAGTTATACAAGGTAACAAACTGTACTTAAAACACATTAAATATTGAGCATGTCACTAGAAAAACATGTCAGATGTTAACAAATATTTACTTTAGATCTTCCAGTTGAGTCAATTATCACAGAAGTTTTTTTTTTTTTTTTTTTTTACCACTGAAGAAATAAAAACGGCTACAAAGTTTTCTTTTTTCCTCAAACCAAACAAAGAATCTCTGTGCTAAATATCAAAATGTATTTTTTGCAAATATCCCACTGATAATAGTGCAAGAGATACAGTACAGTTAAGATTAGCACACAGTTCTTATGTTTGCCTTGCATGTTACAGGTAGTTCAAAATTAGAGTTTGTGTCATTTTAGTGTGAATGCAGAGCTTCAGCTGATGACTTCAAAAAGCCACTTAGGTCAGACTTTCAGTATCTCCATTTGTAATGATGCATTCAGGGAACAGGGAGTTGATTAAGTAAACAATAAATTACAACTACAGCCTTTATCTTTTCATCTTCCTCAATCATAATGTTAATTTTATCTTACAGATAAAAAAACAACAAAAAATACAATTGGCACAATCGATTCATTATTGTATTTTCCCAACTATCTGTACAAAAAGAAAAAGTTTTACACAATAACCCAAAGCAGTATTTTTGGGGAGAATGTGCACACCTGTGTTTCATGTGATTATTAAATCTGCTAGTGTCTTGAATTCTTGACACTCTCCAAAAGGAAAGCTCTGTTGCACTCTCAACAGCCTATGGTTCAAAATAAAGCAGCAGAAGAACGAGCGGGGCCTCATTTATAAAAGTGTAGAAACTGTGTCAGCACTCACAGTTCCACATCACACCAGTCATGCCACTGGCCATGTGATCCTGTGATGTTTACTCCTAGGTCACACTTACAAGTACGACTAACAAGGAGAAATGCTGCAGGTCTTGAGTAAGAATAATACTTGTGGCGTATTTTTGGTTCACAGATCTGATTTGACCATGAAGAGACGAGACTATGGCATAATCCAAAAGCAAAATGATGAATGCTTTAACGTATTGAACTTCTTTACCTGTTAAGAAACTGAGGTGTGAAAATTGGGTACACACCCTTAATGCTCTCATGTTGTACACAAAATGATTATAAGTGAGGCCCCTCCTGTGACAGAATACCAAAGCCTTTAAAACACAACAGCTAAATCAAAAACCATTTCAGCCCCATTAGGATGCACAAAAATAATTAAAATCTCTCCCGTTATGTGATCTTTCTTCACTCTTGCTGCTTGACCAAATCTATGTTTCTCTTTGCTTCAATTGGTTGCTGACTGGTCATTTTCTCAGGTGACCACAGCAGATAGAACACTTAACACTGCCTAAAGACAAAATAATACAAATCAAAACCCTCCCACCCGAGAAGAAAAAAAAAATCTACATTTGATACTCATCCACATAATTTGTGGTTGTTTTCACTGATGGCCTTGTTGTCAAGGCTTTAAACCCACAGTGAAGCTTTTGAGTGCATCTCAGGTTATGGTGTGCCAGCCTGTGTGAGGAGGAGTCAGAGATAGAGGAGACTGGGGGAGAGGGAGGCAGCTCCACCTCCAGGAGTCTCTTCCCCTCCTCTTCATCCTCTCTAGGTGACCCCCCACCCCCACCCCCACCCTCCTCCTGAGCTCATCAGTGTTGTGTTTATGGAGTTTGGGTTGTTTGTGGATTACGTGCGGGTCAGGACGGGATGCAGGGGAGAATGTAGGGGGGGGCGGAAGGGGAGAGGTAGAGGGCCCAGGGTCACTGGCGCCGGTCCTCTGTCTCTGACCGTGAGAACGCCATCACCACGTCCTCTGCACCTGGAAACACAGAACCAAACGCAGAATGTGAAACAAATCCTCCAAACAAGTTTGACTGAAGCCCAACAGAGACGACATTTATCTGAAAAGCTCTTCAGCAACAGAAAAAGGCAGTTTAAACATCAGTGATGAGCTGCTATCATTGTTGAGGTCAACAGGGAGGGCTTTTAAAGAGATTTAGTGGATGTTTTACAAAAGCTAAATCTGGAGCCTAATATTTGACAGTATAAAGAAAAGCTTTTTGTGTAAATACTTACTGACATAATGAAGACTGGTAAAAGCACCATGCCAAAAAAAAGATGAATCAATAATATTGTTGGAGTGCAGGTTGTTTTGAGCTTGCTGAATAAGTGCAAGCATAAAAAAGTGGAAGTGAAGGGCTACATGGTGACCAATAAATCTAAGACTTTTGGATACAGACATTGTTGTCATTCACAAATACTCCTTTTAAAATAATTGAGTGGACACCATTTTTAAAATTAATGCAGCAAATACATTTGTATATTAAAGGGAGCGACTATGTATTCTTACTATATGACTTAACTTTTAACACAGACCCCAGGCTTGGCTAGTTGAAGTACAAATCACTTGATCTCAGAACATCTTGAACATTTTTTACATTTCCACTGGTGATCAGCTGATCTGACACCAGTTCTTGTGTCAAGTGTAAAGTGAGTCAGGTTTTCTTCAGGGTCTTGGATCCTGTAAATCCTGTCAGCTGTGACTTTAAAGCCAAGAAGAAAACGCATGGCCATGAAAATCCTTTTACAGTGCATTCAGGATATGTCGTCTCTTGCCATGGTTGCCTACTGTGGAAAGCCCTAACCTGCTATCACAGGCCCCTGATGTACTAGGACATTGAATGACCTGCTGGCAGCAGCGTCCTACTTTGACGCCATATTATGCGTAGATAAAGTGAATTCATTATGGCTGAATCCTCTGTGCTGTAGCAGCTCTGACTCTGACTCACGGGCACAGGATTGTTCATCATCAGTAAACAAAATGAGATATAAATGTGCAATTTTGACATTACTGAAATGAATCAAAGAAAAGAAATAGAAAAGTAATTTCTTTGATTTGTGCTTCTTTTCACTTTTACAAAGGTAATAAGCACCCTGCAATAATTAGAGTCTCATCTGAGTTGAGTCAACTAATGGCTCCTGCCAAGCAAACAATGGGACTCTTGTCAGCTGGCTTTTGTTTAACAAGGAATCTTTCATTAGTCTGCTGCCAACTGTGATTCATCAAGTGATTTGGGCCTGCCCACACCTGCTGAGACACTTCTTCTCCCAGAAATTAGCATATCTATTTTTTTTCTGTTTGAGTGTGATGAACTAAAATACACAGGGATCTTTACAGGCTCAAAGATCCAACTGTAAATTCACACTATCCCCATTTAAGGCGGAGACTTGTGTCTGTTAACGGTAAAAATCAGTCTACAAAACCCTCCAAAAAGAGAAAGGTCAAACCACAAGCCCTTCTTTCTAATAAATATGAAATAATATCCCGCCCTAAGTTGATACTATAACTGGCAGTAAGCATGGTTATTATTTGGAATAAGAATATTTGACAGCTATGATTGCATTTACAACACAAGGAGAGAATTCTACACCTTTTCAGAGTGTTGATAAGACGTCATGACAGCAGACTGTGCATGTCTGTTACAAAAAGAAAAAAAAAATCTCCCTTCACCCAAGCCTCAAAGTGCTCGTTAGATTTAATTATTGTGGAGATATGAAAGTAGGCCAGGGACTAAGATTTTCCGCTTGTATTTGGCACAAAGGCAACTCTCCATCAGACAGCACAGACCCTCCAAACAGAATTTTTTGTTTCATTTTGCTATCTCTGCAAGTGGGTAATTAGCATGTTTCTATTTGGGTCATCTTGAGTTAGCTAAGATGGAAACGTACGGGGGAGGGTTGCTTTTTAATATGAACTCTCAAGTTCCTGGTCCTGAGGGGGATCACTGGCCTACCAGATCAGGGAGGAGGAAGCCAATTGGCAAAAACAGCACCACGAGAGGAAACTAGAGATAAAAGATATTGGATGAGACATTATGTTCTTTAGTGAATAATATGAATGTAATCTGTTTGAGAAGCACATAGGGATAATAATGCTTGAACAAGAGGAAAATTATGTAATAATAACACAATAGAGACCCCGGCCTGAACATCAAAAGTGCTGAATAGCACTGCTGCTCAGGATGATGTTTTAGCAAAGAAACTTTCAATAACATCCATTTATCACAATCACTGCAACTCTGAATCCGTGTGCGGCTGGCTGAGGGAGTTCACCCATGTGTAACGAGTGGGTCAGAGGAAGGACATGTCTGACACTGTGCAACCTGAGCCCAGTGACCAGCAGAAAATGCTCTCGAAATACACCAGAGCCCAGAGCACCGCAGGCTATATCTGATTTTTACTTTAGCTCTTAAACTAGAAGTCATGTTTGGACTTTGCCCTGCCACAAACACGCACGCGCGCGATATTCTCACAGACAGACAGTCAGACAGACGCACACAAATAAGCCCGAGCAAACATGATAGAAATGCCAGCTCCCTCAGAGCTGTTGCCTAGCGACAGATAAAAATCAGGCTGCTGCTGCCTATGAGGAGAGGGCTTTCAGGGATGCAGTTCTGGCCCCTCCTTTTCTCTATCCCTGTGCTGATCCACACCCTCCTCACCCTGTCTGATGGGGTGAAAAGAACGGCTTTAAACAACAAATGACAGAAATGATAGCATCAACAGGCATGTCATCCCATTTGCTGTCGATAAATACGCTGAAAGACGAGGAACGCCTTTTAATTCACCCCATAAACTTTCTTTCCAGGAAAATAACACAGAGACACTGTTTCGGTAATAATTCAGTGGAATATATTTCAGTTATTGATCAAGTCATTGTTGTTTAAAAAAAAATATACACTCACCGGCCACTTTATTAGGTATACCTGTCCAACTGCTCGTTAACACTTAATTTCTAATCAGCCAATCACATGGCGGCAACTTAGTGCATTTAGAGGCTTGATGGTGGGACCAACAGCTGGCAGTGATTACTGCCCACAGGAGGAAGGATTTCTTTACTCTTTTTCAAACTGCTCTTCCTGCATACTTCAGAAACTGCTGATCTACTGGGATTTTCACGCACAACCATCTCTAGGGTTTACAGAGAATGGTCCGAAAAAGAAAAAATATCCAGTGAGCGGCAGTTCTGTGGGCGGAAATGCCTTGTTGATGCCAGAGGTCAGAGGAGAATGGCCAGACTGGTTCGAGCTGATAGAAAGGCAACAGTGACTCAAATAACCACCCGTTACAACCAAGGTAGGCAGAAGAGCATCTCTGAACGCACAGTACGTCGAACTTTGAGGCAGATGGGCTACAGCAGCAGAAGACCACACCGGGTGCCACTCCTTTCAGCTAAGAACAGGAAACTGAGGCTACAATTTGCACAAGCTCATCGAAATTGGACAATAGAAGATTGGAAAAACGTTGCCTGGTCTGATGAGTCTCAATTTCTGCTGCGACATTCGGATGGTAGGGTCAGAATTTGGCGTCAACAACATGAAAGCATGGATCCATCCTGCCTTGTATCAACGGTTCAGGCTGGTGGTGGTGGTGTCATGGTGTGGGGAATATTTTCTTGGCACTCTTTGGGCCCCTTGGTACCAATTGAGCATCGTTGCAACGCCACAGCCTACCTGAGTATTGTTGCTGACCATGTCCATCCCTTTATGACCACAATGTACCCAACTTCTGATGGCTACTTTCAGCAGGATAATGCGCCATGTCATAAAGCTGGAATCATCTCAGACTGGTTTCTTGAACATGACAATGAGTTCACTGTACTCAAATGGCCTCCACAGTCACCAGATCTCAATCCAATAGAGCATCTTTGGGATGTGGTGGAACGGGAGATTCGCATCATGGATGTGCAGCCGACAAATCTGCGGCAACTGTGTGATGCCATCATGTCAATATGGACCAAGCTCTCTGAGGAATGCTTCCAGCACCTTGTTGAATCTATGCCACGAAGAATTGAGGCAGTTCTGAAGGCAAAAGGGGGTCCAACCCGTTACTAGCATGGTGTACCTAATAAAGTGGCCGGTGAGTGTATATATATATACAGAGACACACCTCTTTTTAAGAGGAACTCTTTTGATTCACTTCCATGCCCCTGAAATGTCTTGCTGTCAATATGAACTTTAGAGGCTTGATGGTGGGACCAACAGCTGGCAATGATTACTGCCCACAGGAGGAAGGATTTCTTTACTCTTTTGCAAACTGCTCTTCCTGCATACACCAAAACCTGCTGATACACGATTGGTAAATACAACTTAGTCTTCAAATGTAAAATAAACATACAACAACCAGACACCAGAACGAACCGCCTTCCAAAACTCTGGATCTTGTCAACAGATGCTTCAATTCTAAGTAGAATATGTACATAGATTATTAATAAATAGTTATCTGGTAAGGCTGTAGCTTTACCATCTATTTACTTGAACTAACTAGTCTTTTCTAAAACTTCTCAGAGACCCTGAAATTAACAAGAAAGTTCTAATTAATAAGAGCGTTTTCCCGAACCTCAAAAGATAAGGAGACTGTGAAATGAACCTAAAGGGGGTGTTTCAGAGGTTTAGGCCCCCCTGCTGGGTTTCTCGCGCCCTGCAGTCTGAATAAGCAGGGAGGCAGCCACATCACGACTCTGGTGGTGCACTCAGTTAGTCAGAATAGTAGCAGCAGCATCTGAGGTCACAATCTGTGCAGGGTCAGCTGAGAGGATAAAGACACAGGATCCCCCACCCACCCTCACAGAAACAACAGCAGGGGCGGGTTAAGAAGCATGACACACCACAGAGAAGTGTGTGTGTCCCAGCTCAACATGTTGACATAAACAAACACAGCAGGGCTGATTTTAGAGCGTACTAGACACTGATGTGCTGTTTCATAGTCTCATTTGTTTAAAAAGTCCTCTTCATAGCTCCATTTTGAAAGTTCAATGTCTTTTTTTCTATCAGTTTTTCTTTCAAAGCTGATTATCCATGGTCACACATTACTGGAACCTCATCCCCTCACAATACCACTTTGACATTATTTTAAAGGCATATCATTTTGTATCACCAGGTCAGGGATTTAAAAGTGTGCATGTCATTTCAATAGAGTTCACAGGTGATCAAAGGTAAGTAAGTAAGTAAGTAAGTAAAGTTTATTTATAGAGCGTTTTTCACAGATAAAAATCACAAAGCACTGTACATAAAAAAGTGCAATTACCGGGGGGCTACCGTCTTAAAAAGTCCAGTCTCCAAAAGTTTTAAAACAGGTCTTTGGCACAATAATAGTGTTCTGGCCTGATGACCGAAGGGTGCGCCCTGAGGAGTAGGGGCACATCAAATCAGTGATATATTGGGAGGCCTGACCATGCAGCGCCCGGAGAGTTAAAACTAAAATTTTTAAATTAATGCAAAAATTGACCGGTAGCCAGTAAGGACGCGATAAGACAGGGGTGATGTGAACAGATTACGGCGTGTCTGTCAGAAGTCTGGCGGCTGAGTTTTGGACAAACTGCAGCCTCTTAATCGCCGCCTTAAAACAGATGAACAGAGAATTACAGTTGATAAACGCATGAATAATCAATTCAAGATCTGGTCTCAACAACATTCTCCTCACTTTAGACTCTAAAGTGAGGAGAATGTTGTTCTAAAGTTTAGAGATATTTCTCAGGTGATAAAAACAACTTTTGGTCAGCTGTCGTGAATGACCCTCTAAAGACATGGCTTGATCAAAAACAACCCTGAGGTTTCTGAGGTAAAAGAAATATACAATCTACAGCTACTTCTTGATTCTTAAAAAGTGTAAAAAAAAGACAATCATGTCAGAGTTTTCCTTCAAATTATGTCTGCTGTAAGAAACAAAATTAAATACCAAAACATCTAATAAGGTAGTAAATATGCAATATGCAAAGTTGCAGCTATAGACAGTAAAATGCAGGGATGGAGTCTTATTTGTTTCTGCAGCTGAGTTTGAAGCCTGTCAACGGCAGATGCCAAATCAAAAATGGTTTTGGTGCTTTTGCAGTCAGCAAAAGTCAGCTGAATCCGTGCTTTATGATTCCACCATTTAACCATACACTTAGCTCCTTACACATTGAGAGATGGAGATGAAATTCAAGAAAACAAAGCTTCTGTGTTGCAGTGAGTCAAGTTAGGTAGACGTGATTGTACTACTTAACAATCCATGTCTGTAGTTCTGATTCATGCTGCAGAGAGGAACAGGAGGAGGTAAGAATCGATACTACTCTGCCCCTGTCGCATTGCTAAACAAAGGCAGGTCCTTGTGGTGTATCCCATCATGACTTTCAGTCTTCGAGGCTGGTTTAAGGATTGTAACACAGACAAAAAGAAACATGATCGCTTATTGATTGCCCACAGCCGCGGTAATATTTGAAACCTAAGAGGTCATATTTCTGTGAGAGGGGATGGGGCTGACATGAAGATATTGGAATATCACTCTGGCAGTGCAATTAGCACTCCAGCTTGCCTTAAGGCCCCCTAATGACACCTGCTCTGATCTACTGATGCAGCGTCACAACAACACCAATACCCACAGGGATGCTTGGCTTTCCTGGGACATCTGAAGTTGCTATGGTAACCCCTCTTTCTCTGTCCTCTTTTGTTGAGGCCCTCAGATATCCTTCAGGTGCTAGTTAACTTTCCTTGTTACATCGGTGCAGATAACAAGTCTTCATATAGCTGTCTTCATGCATAGCTCTGACAGACAGTGTTGTTGAAGATGTTAGGTGAATACAGAAACAACAACCTGATTGGTAAAACTTCCTCAGTGCTGCAGAAAGCTAAATCATCATTAAGTGTTACCAGAACAGAAAAATTAATACTAAAATAGAAACATAAGATACAAGACTCATTTCAATTCATAATAAAAACACAATTATACCACGCAAAGTCCTGACGCCACAATTCTCGGCACCTCCACAAAGACACTACATCAATCAGAAAACTGAATGACAAAAAAATAAAATAAAATATGGACTTATAAAGATAATTTCAGCTTAAGAGCCTTTTTGGTCCGATTAAAACTGCAACACAAAATTCTGTATTTGCATGTATGGTAATCAGCCAATTAAAACTAACTGAAATGCAAATGTATGACCCACAGACTTAAAAGAAACATGAGCGACAGCCGTGGGTTGGTTTTCTCCCTCTGTGTCTTACAAGAGGGATCCAGAAAAATATTGAATAGCTGAGCAGAGTATGAAGGACGGATTCTCAAACAGTTCATGACAACATTTTTGAACAGATTAGACTGCAGCAACTATGCAGTTTTTTTTAGAATATATATTGAACTGAAAACAGCGATTGTGAACATTTGTTTCATTAACTATCATGTGCTCTCACACTTGATGTACTTTTTGATTCTTCCCGAATACATCTTACCTTAAAATGTCTAGAGCCCATAAACCCAGTATTTTTCAAGTAAGCCGACCGATTGATTGATCCATGTCTGAAGCATGACACCATTGCTCCAGGCTGAGACCTTCTGAGGTATCAAAGCATCCTGAATAAGCATACTCAAACCATCCTCTGCATCAAGCTACTGGACAAATGCTGAAAGTCTGTTATTAGACTATTACAGTAATTCAAGTGTTGATAGTGTAAAAGCTTCTCAAAGTCAACAATTTTCAACAATGCTAATTGAATAAGGTGTAAAATAAGCCTTTATGAGTATTGCTTTATTACTTAACAAGATGAATGTGGTGAGTCACCCACATCCAATTATTTCTCTTTAAAACTGCCAACTGAGCAGTACTGAGAGAAAACTGTTTTTATTTTGGTGCTCTGCAAACACAAAGCTTGTGCAGAAGAGGGAAGTTCTTGTAAATCTGTCTAAAAAAGGTTTGTTGCATGATACTGAAAAGCAGGGCAGGTCAAAGAAACAACAAGCAGAAGAAGGAGAAAAATTTGAATAATATTAATTTATGAGACAAATACAAGATGGAGAGAGCCATAGGTGGAGATGCTATAAGTAGGTGCTTTAAGTAAATAGGGCAAAGACAAGTAATATTTGATGTGAAATCTTCCCACTGCACAGTCACTAAGGATGTCATGCATCTGAATAACCTCAACAGTGATTTCCAAGGACATTACCACATTGCATTCAATCATTTTTTCTTTGCTAAAATGTTCAAGTGCAAATCACACAATCATCTAGATTTGATTTATTTTGCAAACAAGGACAAAATCTGATGTGATTCTGTGATATTCCACACAGATAATTTCCTATTTGATGTCTGTGCAACTGCACGTTCAAGTGGCGGAGTGATCGTGTAGGTTGCTAGGTGATGAAATGATTCCTTTCATCTATTTTCCTCTCTATTACCGAGTATAAATGAGATCAAATAGTGGACTTCCCTTTTCATGTAACTGAACCTCTTCACACCATCTCCAAGGATCCCGAATACGCTGATACCTACAAACTGCCTCCCTTCAGTGTCCTGTTTTATGGTGATTAAACCAACAGCTATCTCCTAGATACCTAATCACAGAATTCAGATACGATTCACACCACAAATAATTTATCAGCACACTGAGGAGATGGCAGGCTGCCAGATCGCTCTAAATTTGTCTGTTTTTGTGATGTATAATGCATAACCCGAGCACCTTTCCCCAGTCACTCGTACATTATTGATGAGGCTCTTCTTAGCGGTATTGACACAGCACAGACAAGGAGTCCTTCCTACTAAAGGGCATGAAGACAGAGAATGAGGCCAAACTAACAGGCAGCCTGTAGTTGTTCACACAGACAATATCCCTCGTAAATTCATAATGTAAAATTAGTGGTAATCTCCCTTTTAGCTCTTTACTTCCCAAGGTGTGTCTCCAAACCCTTAATATGATGCAATGCTTTTTGTTCTTCCACCTGATGAAGAAACATACCGTAATAACAAAAGTAACACCGACTATGATGCAATTCCCTGCAGTGAAATTCTAACGATTCATGCTGTATTGCAGAATTTATGACACAGCAGCTAAATTCTCTGCAGGATACCAAAAAGGATAATGAGAAAAGAACACTAGACAAGACAAAAAAGACAAAAGCATTGCTCTATTTAGTATGTCATACAACCATAAGCCTTATCCTTCTGACACAGAAAATCACACTTTCAACATTCAGACTGTGATGGTTTTCTACTCTGCAGAATAAGGACACACACAAGGAGACCAAACAATTTACCGTAGAAAAGGCATTGCAAGTAATTTCCTGGACTCAAAGCTCCCCTGAGGGATCACTATCAAAGCGAAGTCTGATTGACCACAGTGGGACAGCAGGGTGCCTATCTGACCACGCTGTCTGGACTGGGTCTGGAAAACACTGATAAGTCTGGTCACGGAAAATGTAAACAACATCTTGGACAATTTGGTGCTGCTTTCATGGGGAACTGCAGTGTCTCCAGACATACATTATTTTTATTGTAGCACCCTCTTGTGGTATAATAACATAAAAAAAAAAGTGGGAGAGATCAAGAAAGCTCAACAGCAGCCTCTGGTGCTTTGAAAAAGTATGACCATCCAAAGCGAATCCTACAACAACATCACATATCACTGGTTATTTGCTTTATCATATGATACATAAATATTTGAACTCAGAGCTTTATTTAGCCTCTCGGTGAGACGCAGCAGTGAAAGTAGTGATGCAGGCCGGGGATGAGTCACTTGTTTCAGCCTGTGAGTAGTCTCACGGTGCTGGTGGGTTGCTCAGTCGAACTTTGTGCAAATTCAGGGAATATTTCAGACTTTCTGGGGTGGGTGGTTATGAGAGGGCGATGTAGAGGGATTTCCCCTTGCCTATGTTCTAGCAAAGTCTACATTTTTTGACATGTGAAGGGGGTGTTTATGAACTGAATATGTGGTTTATCTATCTGCATTTATCCTCTGTCTCTACACCTTAGAAAGACAAATGAAGGTAAAGTCATTCAACACCTCTGTGTGGTGGACAAGAGAAAAAAAAGAAAGGACACGTCTGTCTATAAAAAGGCTGACTTGAACATGACACTTTTACCATGTGTGAATGAGCTTGTGTGTGTGTGTGTGTGTGTGTGTGTGTGTGTCTCGAAGCTTACCCTGGTCTATGTTGTGCTGTGGTAGCTGGCTCATCTGACTGTGAACCACACCTGCGTAATTCCGGAGAAAAGCTTCTTCACTTGGTGTAAGCTGAAGAGAAGTCAACAAATTGAGAGTCAAAATTAGGAAAAACAAATAATAAACATGAAAAGAGTTTGAAATAAGAATGAGTGAGTTAAGGATGCTTTGACAACAGAGTACCAATTAAATGTTGAGTATACAATATGTCATGTGTATTTCTCTCTCTTTCTTTCATGTCTTCTGTAAGGGGAGTTTTTAAAACCTTTAAAAATACTCTGATGGGATGGAGAAAGTGTTACTGCCACAGTGTTACAGGTACCATGAGTCACAGTGTGTCAGTAGAGCATCCTTTAATGCTGTCTCTTGGCGTTGAGTGTTTCAAATTTGTGGTTTGTAGCCTTAGGAGGCACTTGTTTGTTGGAGTGGAAGATATGTTAGCAAACTTATAAAATTCTAAAACATCTAATCGTGTCATCTCATATGAACATTGACTGATTGGGCTCTACCTAGTTGATTGTGTTGTATTAGCAGATGATTATGGAAGGTTAAAAATCATTTATAGATATGTAAACTAACAAAATTCAGGGTCATTTTAAATAGTAATACTGTTGTTTGTAATTAGTCATGTGACACCTGCTAAAGTGTCCACAGCGCATGACACTCTGATTTCAACAAAACTAAGGATTTACAACTTCAGATACATTTAGGATCAAATGATTAGGTAGGTTAGGCAACAGTGTCCTCTGGCAAGGTTCTCATTGTAAGGCAGACTTTCCTCTTCCCTTGTTTAGATATGACAGTACGAGGTGTTTAACATTTTCACATAGTTTGCAGAAAGCCACAAGACACTTGCTTCTGTGAGCTTCTACACCTTTTGATTACACTGAGGTTTTCAGCTCTCTAGAGGCCTTAAATGAGCTCATCTCTGCTCAACTCCCCCACACCGTCAGGAGACATTAAGAAAACACTTCACTACCTGGATTCTTGTCATTTTGTGAGATGAGCACATTTTGTGGAGATGCTATTAATTCATGCTCAGTCTATTTTAAGCACATTGGCATGAAAGTGTTTGCTGTGGGAACATCTTTTGTGTGTACTTTCTTTGCAGGTTTTAAATGTTACTTCTGCCATAAAAAGAGCTTTTCTAATGTCAACATTTTGACATAGTAAAGATGGTTTTCAGTCTTGAGAACCAAGTAGGCAAGGTGTAATAAGGTGCAGATTTATCAAAACCCTTTACTTACATTTGATCCCATTTTCTTTAGCATGAGCAGAACCCGCACTTTCTGTTGGATGTACATGTCTTCAGGAGACTTCCCCGGGGCCTCCTCGCGGTTCATACCCCCTGCTCCTGTGGCTCTGTGCACAAAAACAAATACATGTTACACAAGAACTTTGAAAACACACAGCTACACAAACCATGAGTGTTATTAGGGGTTAAAAACGATTCAAAACTTGCTTCTTGCATGATGGTTGAGCACTAAAACCCCGTTGAATTATAATCATTTAAACTTTAGATGGTAGGGTAAGCTCGGATAATTAATTTCATATAATGCAAACAGTTGTGACATTAGAAGTCAGGGGGTCTCGGTGTATTCAGTGCGGGTTGGCATTTCACAGCTTGAATGGATGTCATTAATATTTCATGATAGTTCTCACACAAATCTTGCCTCTGCATGCTCCTTCCATCTCTTATTCTCTGTCTAACTAATGACCTATTTTCACTGTCAGTCTGCAGAGATGCAAAATATAGGCAGGAGGGGGGGAGAAGGGGGAGGGAAAAGAAGGCGATAAAAAGGAGCTGCCAAAGCTTATGCGGATGACAGAAAAGGGATAGGTTCCACTTTGATTGCGTGCACACACATCAAGGTCGGCTCTTGTCGCATTAGATCTCTGCTATAACCCACCAACACTATGAGGCGCACAGCGTGGCTTGATATCCTGCATACATTTGCTAATTGAAAAGGAAAAACATTTGGAGGGAATAATTTACAGACAAGAGCTAAATTATTCTTTTAAAGAATAAATCTAATGATAAATATAAATCAAGAATGAGAGTTAAAAGAGAGGATATCAGTATGCAAGTCAGGATTTGTCCTCCACGAAGAATCTTGCATAAAAAGCCCACGGGGGCCACAGCAACTATGATAGTTCTGGCAATTTATTTTGGCCTCTTATCTATACAAAGGGCCACTAATGCATGTTGACAGGCTGTTTGATGTGGGGTTATATTTAATTGAGGAGCTGGCCTGCCATCCCCTCTTTCCAGAGCCGAGGGCGGGGGAATGAATAGGGTACCATTGGCCATTGGCTAGCGTTTGGGTACCACTGTGAGCGTGTGGATTCGTCCAGATCAGAGCAGCTGGAGACCATGGTTCTGGCTGTTGTCCTTAAAATGAAAGCAACCTTTGTCGGCTGTTTACTGTAAGCAAATTGCACCTGACTTCGTCTTTCTGTCCGTTTTTTTTTCTTTAGCAAGATGTTGAACAAGAAGCAGATGAACACATTAGATATTCACTTCCAGCTCAGCGCCAGGCACAGTCTAATTGGAGAACCACTGAAGACTCAAAGCGACACAGACATGAAACGATGGAGAGCTCGCAGGATTCAGTTGCTCAGCACACCTTCAGGGTGGTGGTGGTAATGGCAGCGTGTGAATATATTTGAGTGGGGGTTGAGGATGTTGGTGGAGGGGGTAGGGACTGGCAGTGTCTTTATATCAGCAGCAGTGACACATTTGATCACATCCCCAAGCGCCACACTTCAGACAAACGGAGGAGCCAAGACTCTGGGCAGAAGACCTACCAGTGCTTTAACAGAGAGAATAAATAATGATCAAATTCAGGAGCACTGATCAGAAGCTCAGCTGGAATAAACTGTCATAGGGGATGAGGAGAAAAGAGAGGACGAAGGAAACGAGCAGGTTCACTCTGATTGCTGACACGTACCGTCATGTCTTAAGATTCACAAAACACCAGGATGATACAACAACAAAAATCCATTGATATTCAGGCTTATTTTAGGACTCAACAACTTGATCATTTTCAGGTCTGCAACAGCACAAAAGGCGAATATATTCCACCTTCATCATCGGTATAAATAGGCCTATTGCTTTCATGACTGAGGCATTTCTGGTTCTCTGATGTCTGCTTTTGAAGTTTGAAAACTGGCCATATTTAGGACCATCTCTGCCCAGACTGCTGAATTTTCTGAAGGCTCCAAATTGGATTTTCACCAACAAGTAAAAAAAATATATTTTTCACCTAAAATATAAATGAAAGAATTCATCTTTTTAACTGAAGCCACACTGGTGAGAAAGCTGCTGTTGGAAGAGAAATGAGGTTTTGAATCCTATATGGAGAATTGAATTGGGAAATAAATATGTGTAATTGTAAATGACAGTTCTCAATGATGCTGTTACTTAAAAACATTAATTTCTTTGTAATTTGAATTTTTACTCATTGTTTCACAGAGTAATTTGTAGACAACTAGTCTTGGAAGCAGAGATGGCACAGAACTTGAATCATAACTAATCTGGTACTTAATGAGCTGGATGACAACATGTATGCAAGAGTGATTAACAATGTGCATTCGATTATGTAATGTGAGGTTTTATCCATGCAATCCTGCTGTACAAACTGTCTCCAGCCATGATTGTAATTCCAACAATGCCCCAGATGGTACTCAGGATGCCTGGCTTACAGGCCATCACTGCCAAAGACTTAACCTCGAAATAATGGCTCTCTGTGTATCCCTGCTGGATTACAAATTGGGGAGCACGCTGGGCCAAGGTAAAATCCAAAAACCACATATGTCAGTCAGATGTATCATTAGGGGTATTTATATTGAGATATATGACAGCATGACTGCTACAAATAACCCTATAAACAAAAATTTTAGATTTTTGGTGATTTGTATAATAATAGCAAAAAATAAAATGCCCACAAATTAAACACAAGCACAAGCAAACCACTTCTCCATAGCCCCAGATGGTGTTTAATTTAGTCCAAGAAATAGTCTCAAACTTTCAATCTTGCTGTCACTGTAAAAATTGCCAAGGCAAGAGTTGGTTGTTATCCAAGCAGCAACTTGCGAAGCCAATGCAGTTGTGCTTAAGTTTGAAGTTTCTTCCCGTCTGTATCGACAAATTTGTTCCTCTCGAATCCACAAAAGCTTCCCTAAAAATTCACCTCTTTATCAGACAAAATGCATCACTGACCAGTAAAATAAAGAGACTAACACGATTTTTGTGTCATTTACCTATTAGTATTTCTTCTCTCTGTGTTGATTCAGCTGTAAATAAAAATATTTCTATTTATAGAGACTGATGATGTCTAAATCACAAGTCTTCCATTTCAGCAACCAAGCCTACCTGACAGCCACTTCACAGATTTATTAAGCTGCATTTTGTGAATTTGTATGATCACATATAAATATATCCATTCACAAGTGTCTGCTTAAAAGAAAGTAAAATAATCGATTTATACTTTTCAGTCATTGCAAACATACACGATATGTCAGAATGCAGAGGAAAGTTTTCAGTTGTGCAACTTCTAAACCTGATCAAAGTCTTTTGTCTTTCTAGCATTATTCTAATGTGCACTCTTTGCTGTTTAACATTTCTTCCATGATTCCAAGGAGCACAATAAGGATCCTGTTCGACTCCTTATTGTGTGCCTGATGTAAGGTTGCAGAGGTGGGCTGGCTCAACACTAATCCCCTGAGGGATGCTCAGCCAGCCTCAGACGCATGCGGCTAATATTCCAGACGTAATCAAAGGCTTTCTTTAGTGCTGATCTAGGCTTAATCCCCCCTCTCTACCAGCATTGGGCTCTTGACAGCGTTGTGATGTCGGGGTGAGCTGAGACATCAGGCTCTGTGAGTCCCTCTAGGCAGCCCAGCTAAACAACAACATTACTGATACTGAACTACAGGAATCAAAACGTAGCACTTGGAAACAAAAGATGAACTTAGTAGTTAGTCAAATATTTAATGTGTACCGATTTGAATAGTTTGATAAATAATAATGCTTGAATAAAAATCACAGCATGTTTAAATATTGATACACAAATGATTGATTTGTAGCTTAAAAAAAAAAAAAAAAAAAACGCTGACCAGCCACAATTTCATAGTTTCATAGTGTAAAAAAGATGAAGGTTCTGCAATTAGTTATTTGTGGAAGAGTTGTCTTTTTTTCTCTTTTCAGTTATAGTTTAGGGCCTTGTTCCTTTATTTGGAGGGGAAAGGACAATGGTTCGAGTTGGAAACCAGGACAGAGTAGGGAATAACAAGTAGGACAGATTGGAACTGTACCTGGGCTGCCCTCTTGAGGACTAGGGCCTTTGTACAAAGGGTGCACAACATAACTACCTGGTGAAACCAGTGCCCTCACTGACCGTGTCACAAGTTAGCATCAAATTCTTGAATTCCTAACACACAGCAGGGATTCACTATTTGCTCTTTCTGATGTAATCCTGTTTACACTTGGATTAATATCACATTATTAATTTTGTTATTTAAAAGATATTATTTTCCACTGGTTTATTTACCAGTGGAATTATATACTATACCACTGCATTGTATTCTATCAAACTTGAAAGATGCAAATAGCTGTTGTTGACACATTACTTTCATGGGTGTCCCCTGGTTACACCTCAGTAATGGGACCATTCAGCTACTATCTAATGCCCATAAAAGTTGTGTAAGCCACATGAAACTTTAAGGTGCTTCCAGTGTGGTCAGCAGTTGGCAGCGTGGGACTGGTGTTAAGAAACTACATCTGAGTTAAATAAGATAAATGCTGATAGTTTTTTGGATTCTATTACACTGGATTGCATCGCACCCTGAATAACTCCACATAGGCTGCTTTCCTGTGTAGAGGCGAAGCCCACTGAAACCCATGTGGAGTGGACAATACTGCTTTACTACAAACAGAAGACTAATGATGCCAAAATCTGGTGTGTTTCTACAGATTTAGCATTTTTATGTAGAAGCTAAAGATAGAGACTAGTTTGGTTTAGTGACTTCACCGTGAACTACTAGTGCGGTAAACTTTCATACTGCAACTGCAAATGACACATTGAGTGAAAACGCTATTAATAGAAACAAATCCATTCATTACATGGCCTCGAGAGCATTCCAGACTTCATGAGTAGAATTGTGTGTCAGCGTCCATTTGAGTTTCCAAGAAACAAAAAACAGAAGAATTCTCAGACCTTTTCGACACTGTGATTGGGCCTAACAGTGGAGCCGGATCTGCTGCCAGAGATTACAGTATGCAATGTGATAGGCCCTCACATTTGCTGAGGGTCATGAAGGGCAGAGGCTGCCACAGTGCACTGGTCCAGTCACACATGGCTCGGTCCACTTGTCAAGCTTGTTACTGGGTTTAGTATCAGCTGCTTGCATGATGCACAATGTCTAATTGTTTCTGACAACAAATTCCTTTTGCCAAGAGGAAAACAAGCCTTCAGGGTGGAATGAGAAACTGAGTCAGGTTCAGTTTTAAATTGACTACACTAACAGTGAGAACTCTCCAAGACCCTGAAAACTGAGAAGGAAAATAACTTGAATTCAATCACGAGATCATGAGCATCTCAAGCAAATGTGTGAGAAACGTAAGTAGACTAGAAGCCTGGTGTGGCTGCCGGATGAGCTGCCAACAACCTGGCCTGGTTCTCAAGAGCAGCTGTGTCATTGCAGGTACACGCGCTCACGCACACATGCTCTCTCTCCTCTACTGAGGGCTGGGCATTAAGGCCTGGCTGATATATTGGGGAGCTGACCACAGATAAATCTTCGACATAATCTTCTCTACTCTTTCCATCACAGTGCGGTTTGCCCCATCTTTAGAAAATTAAATGCTGTCTCGATTATTTACTTTCACTGGATAAATACAGACACTATTCATCCTTTCCCTTTTTTTCTTGTACACCCATCTCATTTGCAAAGCCTTTGTCTAAACATGTTGTAATGACAAGCAGTAACTACAGAAAAGTACATGTTTTAAATTGATCTTTTAAAAATGACCTGTTGTTAAATACAACAAGCAGAAAAACTGTACTTTGGTTTTAGAATGACTTATTCTGCACTTCTTGCTGAATGCAATATTTTGTTGGTTTAAGCTTTGTTTTTAAGGATCTCTGACAAGGAAACTGGTTAACAACATGAAATTTCATGTTTTTTACTTACTGTTAGGGGGTGCAACTTCCTGTAAAACTTTGTGTAGCTTGGATGCTAAACCAACTATTTCATTTCAGCTGAAAAAGGGAAAAAAATATATTGGCAGTTTTATCTCCTCTCTGAAATTGATCGGTATTAATCAAATTAATCAAAATGCACCACTAGCTGTTTAGTTCCACCAATAGTCCAGATGTAAAGACACATTTAATATGAACAAAACAGCAGCTACTTATCACATTTGTGAAGCTTCATCTGGCAATTGAAAGACATTTTGATATTTTACAAATAACCAAAACTGCTGATTGTTTTTTTTCTGTCTGTTAATTAACCAAAGCTTCAAGAGACTGAACAACAGCTGTATGATAATTCTAAAAGTGGTGTCATTTGGATCACCAAACAAAACCGAGGTTCTTTTCATCTGCACCAGCTGGAAACAACATGAAAACTACTTGACCGCCCATGCACCCAGCAGACTGACTCTCTGCGGGTCAGGGACAGCATGGGGTCCTGAAACAGCGTGAGCCAGACGAGCAGACACCACAGGCCAGAAAGGCTCTGGCTTGGACTTACTGGATGTCTGCACGCTGCTTTTGTGTGAAGCCATCTCCTCACATGTACAGTGCCCACAACAATGGCTACAGTATTTGGGGACAATGGTGATGAACTGGATTGTGAAAAAATGATTGATAAGTAGGTCATGTCTTGTTGGCACCACGTGAGGCATGAACTCAAGCAGTCCTGCTCAACTGTACAGGCTTAGTTCATAACTGGGTTTCTAGGTGTTCTTAAATGTGACACATTAGGGTTGATAGTAGGATGGTCAGCTTTATCATTCATTTATTCCTGAAGAGGTTACACTTAAAATATTTTAGTCATATTACAATACCATATTGAGAACAGTTATTTGAGTGCAGCCTAATATAACACATTACACCCAAGGTTTTCTTAGACTTTGCCTTAAAAAGATAATTACACCAGGTCTATGATTTCTCTTGAACATCTTAGCTCACTCCATAGGGACCCTCAAAAGAATTGAAACAGAAGCTGCTGCCTTAAGCTGGTCCCTTGGGGGTACGGCTGCAAGATTTCAAAAGCAACAACGTCAAGGCAGAGCGTATAATTCTGAGAGTTATATGATCCATGCGCAAAGAACAATGCAATATAAATGTGTAGGAGACCATGCAAAAACAGACAAAGAACCAGGAACAGAAAAGACGGCTGTGCTTTCAAGTTTCGTTCTTTAACTCTGATAAAATACAGCCCTCATTCCCAAACCACTCACAGGCAGCTGATGAGATCCTCTTGGGGCTCATGGGGGTTGAGCAACCCCTGAAGAGCACCTGCCTTCAGTGTGAGGAGGCAGGGAACGGAGGGAGGTAAGGCCAGGGGTCCATATTTCTTTCCAAAATCAAGCCAGCAAAGGGAATGTGCAAGCTAAGACAGGCCTGACATACTGTGCTTCATGACCAACTCTGCTTGCTGCCAGGAGGATTCAGAGCACTCGCCTGTGGCCAAGCCTTGATACCCACTGTCTACAGCAATCATGGGTGCCCCGCTGACGGCAGGGTGCCAACTTCACCACTCAAAGGGCTGTCAGCTTTTGTGACATGTGGGAGGAAAGCAGACACTGTAAAAGGCAGGGGTGGCACAATGCATCAAGGGGTGGCATGATCCATAAATAGTAAACCAATGAAGAAGTTAAGTGAAAAGGCAACTTGAGAATGAATACTCGTTTGACACAGCAAGTGATTCACGCAACAGGATGGCCCGGCCAGGCTAGACTGATAGGTGTCTGGCAAGTGGAATCAATTGTTGAGTAATTTGCATTTCCAAAAAGGCGTTCCTCCTTATATTTATTCTATTTAGTTACAAAGGAAACAAAAGGCTATTGTGGTAACGTTGTAGAAGACACATTAAGTACAGTACTGTTTACACAGTAAAGGTTGGTAACGCTACCAATCAAACTAGCTCTAACGAGGGTCTGCATTAACGTGTACCTACATTAGCAGAGATTTATAGTTTTTACTTCCCTTAATTTCGATACTTTCTAGAAGATAAAACACCACACAAGCAAAGCAAACGGGATAACACTTAGTTTTTCAAGATATGGACACATGACTGAACCGTTCTTGTCATGTTACGGGACGCAGTCCGTTCAAACGGCATCAACGTTCTTGCTAGCAAACATTCAACGTATTTTCGATATAAATCCCGAGCTGTGTCCTTCGTGGGACAACGTATGCATACCACTCCATTTACTTACGAGTCTTTTATTATTTCGGGACAAACATTTAATTTCGTCTCCACGCGCTACCATTGGCAAAGCAGCCAGTGCTAACCAGCCAAGCTAGCTCGCTAGCAAGCCCGAGACAAAAGCCTGAATGAAGTTCCTATGGGTGCAAACACCATCCAGGTACCGCTGCTCTGCCTGGAGTGTACACGCCGGGATTCAAACACACGTATCGGTCAAAAATAACTCTGACAATGTGCGCCTCGCAAGGAAGACAAGACACAAAGGCTTACCCCTCCTGGTCCAGCTTTTCTTTCTTCTGTTCTCTGTTTGAATGGTGTGTTGTTGTAGGAGGGCGTCCTGTTCCGGGGTCACATCCCTCCAGTCGGCAGTGCTCCGGCGAACTGATTCAACGCAGCGAGAGACCAGCTGTCTGTGCAGTACCGCTGCCGGCCACCGGGGGCCCCACCGGTCCAGCGAACACTGTGCAGTCCCGTAGGACCTTCATAGATTTTCAGCTCATTCTCCTACATTTGGTTGGGGACAAGGTTGTTATAATATATACAACATGCAATTCCTGTATTTTTTTTTATCCACATATTAATGGTCCATATTAAGGGCTTCTGATACACATGTTGTATTACCCACAAAAGTGTAAGTGTAAAAATACTAGTAGGGGAGAGTGGGGTAAGTAGAGCCAAAGGGTAAGTTCAGCCACCCCGTTACTTGGAAATGGTAAAAAAAATTGATCATGTGACCAAATATTTCGGAGATGGGCACCAATTCATGGAGTCTGTGAAGGTTAGAAGCACATGGGTGAAGGGGTTGGACATTTATTTCCAAAACAAAATTTTTCACTCTTGAAAGTGAATTTAGTCTGTCATAATTGTTATAAGAATTGTGCTCATACAAAAAAATACCATTTTAAATTTGTTTTATACATCGATTGTGGTATCTATGAGCTCCAACATGAGGTCAACAACCTAGCATAAAAGTCCACCATTGTTTGAATTGTTGAAATGTCTTACTTTTTCTTTTTACAAAACAGCTTTTAAGCAGTTATATGCAGTAATAACAAAAAGAGTTACTGTACCAGTTGAATGGTGTATAATAGATAGAATTACACATAAACGTGAAGAAGTGACTGTTATTTAGAGAGAGAGAAGGTGAGGAAGGGCTGGGGTGGAGAGTGGGGGGGTGGGGGGTAGTAGGGATACGGCTCAACTAACCCCGCTCCTATGGTCAAGTTACCAAGTTGACCATAGGAGACCACCTTTTTTTGCATGCTATATTATCAAGACAGCTATGTTTACACTTATTCTGTTGGTTTTCAGAGACGCACAACATCTTGAAATATACGCAGATACACTAGTTAGAGACAAAACTATGATTGTCTTGATGTGATTCGACATACTGTATGAAAAATGGCTCATCTTACCCCACTCTTCCCTATATATAAAAAAAAAGTATGAGACACAACAATGTCACACATCATCCTCCCTTAAGCAGATTTATTTTAACGTGTTTAATGTAAATTTTTGTAATTCTGGTCAGATCTTTATAGCAACCACCTTTTAGCAAATGAATTTAGTGATTGGATCATATGTTTGCCTTCTGGTTGACAGCACAAAAAGAGACATTGGAGAATAGCGAGGAAGAGAAGGACAAGAGCAGGCTGGAAAGGAAAGGAGAGGAGAGAGGAGCAAGAACCAAGTGAGAGAGCAGACAGGTTTTTAAGACTACAGAATAAGTATTGTGAAACTCTCACTAATTTCACCAAAGAGGATAATGTACATATGTGTTGTTGCAAGGTGTACCTAATAAAGTGTCTGGTAAATGTGTAACACTGATGGCTTTGAAAAATCTGACGTCTTTGTCTTTGGTCCTCATCAATCAGCACTATTCCTTACGGCTGCAAAAATAGGTATCAAATTAAAACAAGATATGACGTGGATCCTGCTGTTTATTGAGTATTATCCTCCTAACAGTGAGAGAGGCTAATGTGAGGACAGGATGCGGGTAAAGGACAGGTCTTCATCAGACCTACGTTGAAACATGGGCTTATCCTAATGCTGCACACAAGAAAATATGGCTTCAGCCTTGAAGGATTTGCACCTTGTCATAAATGTCAGTCATAACAATCAATTCAAAGGCATCAGATATTTATTTACTTATTTCTTTTACACTTTTTAGCTGCTAAACCCAGTGTAAGCTTCTCCTGCTTCGAGGCAGTAGTTATTAGATATGGGGCACTGGTGACCCATTTGAAAAGTCTATCCCAGGGTGAGTTTTCAGTAGTCTTTCAGTCCTCTTGCTGTGTGATCCATGACTATGCTCCATGCTCCTGTGTAAAAACCATCATGGCACACAGACAAATACAAATGATAGTGGTTTTTGTAACTACTATAGAAACAGGTAAGCATATCATCCAACTGACAGAACTGACAGCAAGTATGCAACATGTCAGCGTTGTCCAAACCCTACGATTAAATCCCACTTTACAGACTCAAACACTTAAAAAACACATTTGCATTAGATATGACAAAATATAGAGGTGTTTGCACAGTATTGACACAGTCTCTTTCATGGCATCTGGCACATCGGTTCAAAAATGCAAATTAAATTACACAGTTCATAACTTACATAGAAATAACAAAGGCAAACACGCACTTATACATACAGACACAAACCCACCGCACTATCATAGATAGGACATACACAGTAGTTGACATTTGATTTTCAAAATGAAGGTGAGTAGTACTGTTCAGTACCACATTTCAAGAAATACATCCACACGTCTATGGCTCTAAGATGACTGATAAGACACAACTCTTAATTTAATACTTAGTCTGATCCTTTGAACTAACAATTACGTGATATTTTTGCCTGAGATCACTCCTTTTTTTAATATTTGCACTTGGTAGTTGCCATCAAAGAGATGGTTTGAAATTTTGGAGAAAAAAAAAAAAAATCCTTTTCTTACTTACGGTAAAATTAGTCACATGAAAATGAACCCAAGGCCAGTAGATGTTAGGCAAAGAATAACACAGAAAATGAGAACCAAGGAAAAGGTTTACTAGTTCTGTTCAAGGGTTAACATTATACAGCAAATATCTGAAGTTGTGGCGTTGTAACTTAAATTAAACTACTATGATTTAAATTAAATAATGTACTATTTTCTGAGTTTTGGAGGTGCTTGGAGACAGGTTTTGTGACTCTGTGACAGAGCCAGATTAGCAGTTTCTACAATTCCACTATCTGCGCTAAGCCAAGCTAAAGGTTGCTGACTTCTGCCAACATTCAACGGACAGCCATGAGAGTGAAATAAATGCTATTTTCAGCTAGAAAGGAAATATGTTTAAATGTCAAAATGTCAAACCATTTAATGAATTCAGACTGATTGGCAAGACTCGGCTGTATGGCCCAGGCTGGTACTCAGAGATGCTTTCAAAACAAAGTTCTCATATAGAGATAGCTTACTGTCTTACAAAAGATTGTCATTGTTACTATGCTGCCTGTCTACTGCCACTCCAAAGGCAACACACTGTACTTCAAGGCAATGTTACACATCATGAAGTGGAACATCAGTAAAACAAATATCCTTCAAAAATATCCTTCTTGAATTGGGACAAATACTTCTAAGCTTTCAAATTAAGTTGAAATGTGAGAGAACAACACAAAACTGTACAAAAGCCTTGCCATGAAACTGCTGCTGTATCATTGTATTCCATGACCAAACAGTATAGTCTTGGAGTCTGTTTCTTCAAGTTTGTTCGCAGTTTGAACCCTGCTGACTTATCCAGTCTCTGAGCTGAGCTTTCAATGTCTGTTCCTGTCTCATTGTTTCATGACACTCCTGCATGTATCTTCCAGTGGCAGCACAAAAAGCAGTTCATTATTTCTCCAGCTTCATCTTCAAGGCAAACGCATCCCAGTGGTTGAGGGTGAGGACATGACTGTGATGGATTCCCTTCAAGGTGAAAATATTTCTGTAGTACTCATGCTCCAGGTTTAAAACAGTCTCTCCATTTGCAGTTGTTTTTCACAGCCAGGTCGGATGTAAACATTTCCTGGATGTCCTTGAATGCATCCACAAAGTAACTTATCTGCATTTAACTGAGTTGACTTTGCTTTTATCTCCACAAGTTAAAATCTGTACATTTCTGGTCACTCTTCAAGATACTTCAGTTCCTCACGGCCTGTTATCTTTGGCTAAGGAGTGCATCATCCAGTTCACCTTTGTCTTCCAGCTCTCCCGCAGAGCTTCGTTGAACTTCACTTTGAAGTTCTTCAATGCCTCCTCCTCTGATTTGCCCAATGCTAAAGAGTCCTGTTAAAACCAACAAGACAAGACCAATGTAGTTGTTGTTGGTATGTTACATCATCAACATTATCCTCATCACTAGTGGTATTGTCGTCATGGTTGCATACCTTTAGATACTGGATGTCTTTGAAGGAGGTGAGCTCTGGCAAACCCGCTGCCTTCATCATGGCGAAAAGGTTAACAAACAGCGTCCCATTCCGACACAGTATCTTGTAGGCCTGCTCACAGTACTCCCTGAACCTGACAACATAGAGATGATGATCAGTGGTCAGTCATGATGCAATCACATCCGCAAATAGCCTGTTGAGGAGAATATGTACCTCTCAAACTTCTCACTGTTGTTGGTTCTTCCTTGTTGGATCACATGGACGAAATCGTAAGTCAAGATGAAAGGCACACGCTCCCTGTTGATCCCTAGTTTCCGCTTGAAGTTGCCCAGAAAATGCCCAAAGTCAATGTGGAAGAGCTGAGGAATGAAGGCAAAAAGGACCTCTGGGTTGTGAACTGGTTCTGCATCACTGTCATGGTCACATTTCATGAGGATTTACTAACCTAAGAGCAGGCCTGAGCCAGTTACCGGTAACAAGGTATGAAGTGGTTTGAAAATGTCAAAACTTCACATTTTCCATCATACTATTCCTCTGATACAAGGTTCTCTCCCCAAACCCTTGAAGACAATTAATAATGGCAAATCTCTGTCAACCACCATCAGTACACTGCCAATCGTATTTGGTAGTGATGTGCATGTTAGCCCACTTGCCGGGTTAGCTTACACACTATGTAACTCTGTTAGCCTTTTGTCCAATAAGGTGAGAGTGTAATAATCCATGTTAGAGTAAGCCTGCACAAAGTATAACTGCTGCTTCCAGTATCTTTATTAGAGCACTAGCCTACCAATCATTAACTAGATGGGGCAGGACTGGTCACCCAGGTAACAAGGAAAATATCTGCATGTCAGATGACCATTTCTGAAGCAAAGACGACATTTTTTGCGACAGTTTGTCAACCTACATTGAGCTATTCATTTCATCATTTTAATGTGACATAGTAAATGTTTACTGATGTTCCATATTTTTATAGGCTGTTTGAAAATAAGGTAGATTGAGCACTATGAATCTCATACTGGCTCATGCCTAAAGAGTGACCCACGGGACTCTGATATCAACATCTTAGCTAACAATGTGTCAAAACCAAAACTAAGTATTACAAAGATTTGAAGTGTAATTGTGAACTCCCAAACCCTGAAATTAAAATCAGTGTCTTTTTTCAAAAGAAGTTATTATATGTATTAGTTAAATATGCAGATGTAATAAGTAAAATTGCATAGTTCTTTGATTTAGGGAAATGTTTTTAAGAGCTCTGCCTCCAAACCACCCACCCCGTGGTAGATTTCAGTAATGATTGATTTTCTACAGCCTCTTTCACAGATTTTCTGGGTGCATTGAACATTTCCGGACTCATATAGGAGCTCTGCTGCACACATTTTTAATATTTGTCTAATTCATTTTTGTCTCTCATAACATTAAATCTTCCCAGTTGCATTAAAGGGTGGGGGTGGGGGGCGGTGGGTCATTTGAGGCTGAACATTACCTCTGTGGTTATTACTTGAACATTTTCTGCTGCATTCTCACTTTAACTTTACACTGAAATTTTACAGTGGGGCCGCTTGTGTTCAACCATGCAGACCAACCCAGAAAAGTTTCCAGGGGTTTGTGCATCTATAAATACAGCTTGTTAAAAAATAATTGCAATACCTGTCCTGTTTCCCTGATCATGATGTTGTCATTGTGACGATCTCCAATGCCAAGGACATAAGTAGCTACACAGTAGCCAGCACAGGACAGTGTGAACACTTCGATTGCTTGATCAAGTTTGTCCCTGGTGGGAAAAAAAAGAGCAGACAAGCAGAAAGAAAATCATCATCACGTTTTGCTCTTTAATTGTATTTACGTGTTATTTTACTTAAGTGTTATCTTACAATCCTACAATCTGTGTAAAAACTAAACACACACACAACTAATACCAAGAATTTCCCTGTATCTATATAAAATGTTTGCAGAGGAATTCCTGCAGGGAATTTATGATTGACAATCACGTCCGTTCTCTGTCTAGACAAGCACAGTGTCAACCTTTTACTAATTTTCTCCACTCCTTTTTGGCTGCGGCAGCATTTCAAGCTAATTACCTTTCTGTTCTGTCGTGCACTCAGCCAGGCCTGTCTTGCCAATGTGACGTACAAAGGCTTATTCATTACACTGAATGCATCTCTCTCTTCAAGGAGCTTTTAGAATAGACAAGACCTTCAGACTGTCTGGCACCAAATAAAAAACTACTCTCATTTAATGTTGCTGAAGCTGTAGTTCCCTATGCACTTTGTGTTGCTTTATAACAGTTTTGAAATACTGCACACAATTAATGCTTTGAAGTTAACAGTTCAAACCAGACACAAAGACAACCAGAAAAATTATCTAAAAGAAAAGAAAATAGGGAACCTGCAAGAAATATTTTCACTATGTATCATGAAAAACAATGACCTCTCTGAACCAAATTAAGCTACAGTGTACAACACTTGAAGTATTTGAGGGGCTACACATTTATGGATGCAGGTTTATGCAACTGCAAATCATTTTACTAACAACATATCTTTGAATTTAATTCTTTTTTAAAAATACAGCTTTTCCTATATTCTCAACCATTATCACTTTTATATGTTTTCACACCAGCTCTTATCTATTCATTTGATTGCGCAAATAAATAACACATTTATGGGAAAACAAAGTTTTCTCGCATCTGCTTCGAGTGTCAGAGATCATTTATCTTTTCTTATGAATGCAGAAAAGGAAGAAGGGTTTGAGTGTGCATTACAAACAGTACTATAAATATCTGTTAAAACACAGCCATCATATGTGACATATTTACACCATTGGTTTCTCAATTCCCTAAATTACAAAAATACCTTGGCTATAGCTGGTGAAGTTAAGTTTTTATTAGATGCATCATCCATTATACAATTGTTTACGAGAAGAAAAGCAATGTTCCCCTTTTTTGAATAACAGGAAATAAAACTAGTTGCACACTAATACAGACACCAGTCAAAGCAAAACTTTGAAGTGTTACTGAGGTGAAGCTGTAACCAAGTGCTACATTTCTGGTGTGCTATGCTTTTTGAAACAAAATATTTTCTGAATACATGACAAAAATTGATCGCATTTTGGGATTCTCCTAAAGTTGATGGAAACAGTTTACTGGGTTATTTACTAAGCAAACATTATACTGACAACAAAATGGCTGTATTTAAACCATTAAACCACAATTCTGTTCTTTTTAAACACTGTTCAGTGTGCATATAACCGAGCCAGTTCTGAGTTCCTGTGGTTGAATCATGAGTTTAAAATACCAATACAATATCTACTCAGTAACCGCTGCCCTTTTGAGGCATCCTACAGATATATTTATGTCAGAGTTGTTCATCATACTCACTCAGGATTTTTTGATTTGAGCCAGTTAAGTAGAGCATCCTTGTTGAAGGCAGCTGTGGCAGCACTGTTACTACTGTTGCGCTGGATATTGGCAATGGTGTCTGAGTGCTTTACAACCTCGATGAGCCCCATCTTGTTCCCAGTGGACAAGCAGCCATATGGGATCATTCTGTAAGTGAAGGGTGAAATTATCGGGACTATGTTGACTGCAACTTGTGGAAATATATATATACGTATAAATACACCCCTGCTGTACCTGAGATCGAGACCCTCTTTCTTCCATAGGTTCTCCATGAGCTGGATCATCTGTAGAGTCAACATATCTTGCCTGAGATCTAAAGGGGATTAGGAAACATGGAGCAGGTTTAACTATTTTAAGTGTTCTTTTGGTGTACAGTGTGGCTGTTATTTTGTGTATCACAGCAGAAAAGAATGATGTAGATCTCACCATCTCCATTCTTGAAGATAATGCCCACCATGTCTCCCTGAGGGCAGGGGTTTTTATACATCAGCCATAACGGCTTCATCTTGGAGTCCATAAATCGGCACTTATCTGCACTGAAACAGAAAAGCAAGCTCATTTTAAATTAAAATATCATAACTTTGCTGGGTTCATGGACAAGAGGAAAAGCCACTTAAATCTAAGAAGAGAATGTGATGCCTTTTTTTTCTTTGGTGAATATTTATTTTAAATTTGGGGCTGTCAAATGATTATTTCTTGTATTTGCAATTAATTGCAAACCATACTAAAATTTTAACTTAAATCACATGATAAAAACGCCACTATTTGCATTTCAGAACAGTTTTTAGATCCATATTATAACGTAAAGCAGTTCTTGATAGTGTATTTTTCATGAGTGAATGTTATTCTTTCTAGGTCACAGTAAGAAATGGTCAATTTTGTGGTAGTACCTCAAGCCAAAAAAAGGATGCTGATCAAAGATACAGAGATAAACTAAAAACCTTTCATTCCTAGCTGAGAGGGTTTGAGGGTTGAAATAAGCATAAGCATGAGAAAGGAACCAAACTGCATGTGGAAATCTAATTTTGGAGTCAAAAATGCAATTTCTCTATGTTTGTGTATCTCGCACTAACCAGATCTCCGAGAGGATGACGCTAGGGTTGAGCGGTGACAGTAGGTCTGACAGGGCCTCCAGGTAAGACTCCTGTCTGATACACAGCTTCAGGTCTTCCACTGTCATCTTCTGGGAGCCGGATTTCACAAAGTCACTCAGGGCCTTCATTTTGCCCAGAGCCTCATTCTATGCGGCAGGGGTAAGGGAAATCCAGAGGTTTTGTACGGATCAAATGCATGAACTTTGAGGTTTAAAGTTAGTGCATATAAATGTCAAATAACCTGTTTGCTTAAGAGCTTGATGTGGTGGATGTTTCCTCTGCAGTAAGCCTCCAAAATCAGGCCAAAGCGTAAACTCACAGATGGTACGTGAATCTCAGACCTTTAACAAACACAAATTCATCAGTCAGCCAAAAGCTTGTAGATGTGCTTGACCCTTACCATTTGTACTGGGCTATGAGTCACCTGAGATGCCAAAACAGAAAGTGTCCTATCGTCCTGTTCGACAAAGCTCTCTCCAGCAGGAAAGTGGTGAGGTCACAGTCAAGATAAGACTCGTACTTCAGAACCTGAACCAGCTGGATTAAGTAATGCAGCAGTTCATCATCACTGTGTGCAAATTGAAAAAAAGGGGTTTAGAATTTAAAAAAGAAAACTGGGAAAGACATGAACATGTATGTGTGGATACCTGAGCTTCCTGAGGCATCTGATGGTGAAAGAACGGACGGTTGGGTCAGGGAAACTGTAGTCTAACAGCTCCAAGGCATGGATGGCAGGGAGGTCTGGCCAGTTTGTCAACAAACTCACCATCTGAGAAGCAGAGATAAAACATTTTCAGACACAATGAAAACAATTCAAACCTTCTCGTGTCTTGTTAACAAAATGAACACACATAAGACATGAACATTAAAGGGTAATTTATCCTCACAGCTCAACAGTCCTTTGCATTTGTCAGTGTTCAAAAGGATGACTCAGCAATGAATGGTAACTTGATCACTTTTTGAATCATTCATGAAGCAAAATCAATACAATGACATGCTGCTTGTCTCTGCTTTAAACCAGTGCTTGTTTTTTGGAGTGTAGGTTGGACTGTGTCAGCAGTTTGAAGCCCTCATCTAAACTCTTCCAAATGTGATGAGCATGTCTTGTTCTTGTCTCGTTCTTGCTTTATGGTATTCTTTTTAATGATACTCAACTTCAACTGCTTTTAGGGCTGTTGTAATAAACCAACCACGATGATAACCAGATTTTAAAAAAATAATGAAATATTGATGTTGTGCTCAAAATAAGCATACAGTCATACCATGAAACTAATTGGCTCACCATAGGAGACACTGTAGTGTTTTTTTTTATGCAGGCTAAAACAGAGAGAGGAAAAATAAGAAGCAGCAGCTGCAAAAGAAAAAGCCTCAGTAACCAGCTGGCTATCCAGCCTTTACCAGCGTGTGGCCACTAGGAATGAGCTGGAGTTAGAATATAAAATAGGAGAGGATGGATAGTGAGATGGATAAGGACAGCTTTTTATCTTAATATGCTTGTTATTATTCCAAAACTCAAATAAGAGGGTCAGCTTTTACATCATGCACTTCATTGATGCAGCATGCACTGCCTAAAACCCTGCATCCTAGCCATCTTCTGCTGCTGCTTCCTGCTGGGTTCATTCAACAAGGCTGTGGTTTCTTCCTGTCAAACCTCTGCAAGTTACACATAAACAAAGCTGAGCAATTTCAGTATTTCTTATCTCTTAAAAAGGCCCAAAAATATTAAGAACATTTGTATTGTTAGCTACAGCCCAACTAGTTTGATAGTTTAGTATGACATGTATAATGTTCATTCAGCAAAAATAAAAAATTGAAATGCTGTGTGTAAAATTTACATTTACAAAGCATTACGTAGAAAATCCAGAGCATCCAGTTTTTTGTCAGGACCTAAACTTTTATTTTTTCACATTTTCTAGATTTATTGTGTTTTTGTCACACATTTCAGACCTCTGTGCAGACACCTGATAGAAAATAAAACAAAACTGATAATTGTAGAGAAAAGGTCATGAACTACCTGAACAACTTCTTCACGCTTATTCCACTTGGTGATGAGAAGCAGCTTCGACAGACTCTCAGGGAAACAGTCACGGACTTCTGCACGAAGCTTCCACAGGAGCTCCTTCTCGTCTTCGAAGAACTCAGTGTAGTTTTTGTTATCCATGATTTCTTTTAGTTTCATGTACTGCAGAGAGTGAAAAGACGAATTTATGTTATAAGGTTATGAAACCATTGGTCAGCAAGATACCGCAGTTAAATCTGAATTCAAGCAATGTAAGAACTATGAAGTCGATACCTCTTCTTTGGTGGGAAAGTTCAACTCTCCATTCTTTTCCACTTCACTTATCTGTAAACAGACCAGGAATTTCCTGTTAATCAAATCAAAATGAAAGAATGTATGTCTCAGCGTATGTCTTTTGGAAATAAATACCTTGTCAAGTGGCGGGTAATAAAGAGGATACGGTCGGATGTTGTGGAAGCGGATGAAAAGCCCTGCAGCGCTGTCTACATTGGGGTTCTTCTCCACAGTTCCCATTGGATTCAACAGATCCCCTTTGTCATCTGTGACAACAGTGTCATTTATTAACTTTCCCCTTTAGTATATGCCTTGATAAACCCACTGAGTATGTTTTCATCTGCAAACCTCCTCAATATCTATCAATGTAACAGTAAGTAAACAAATGGTGCCTAACACACAAATCTAAGCCTTGGCAATATTTTTTGACAACAAGAATTTTACAAGCAAAGGCTGGTTTGTAATTCATAATGAGGGAGTACGTTGAGTTTCCATGACACTGTGAGTATTTTAGTCCCCACAATGTTCTGCCAGGCGGTACGGAGGAGGCTGCTAAGATGAGGGGTGTTTAGAGGAAGATGAGCTGTAAAAGGAAGCAAAGCTAAAAGTACCAGGAACAGATGGCCACATGGACAAGAGGACCTCCCCAGTCTTCAGTTGGTCTTTGTAGTCAAACACCATGGTGTTCACCCAGGCTATCGGACAGTCCTGAGGAGAGGGACAGGATGATTAGTTTTTTGTGTAGAGGTTTTAAGGACCATCTGTATGCAGTAAAACACACACAAAAAGCAAAGAAGGCATCATTGATTTTAACAACAAATTCAGGTGATTTAGCTGAAAAGGATTCAAAAATAATATGAGAAGGAGCAGTTTTTCCCTTCATTAGAGAGTCAAATGTCAAGCAAAAGACTGAACAGGTTTTGGTAATAAATGCACGTAAAATGCTGGAAAGCATACAGTTAAAATGAGAAGAAGCAAAATTAAATAACATCAACTTAAATGCCCACTGAGTATGTTACAATAAACCCAGTGTATCTAGACCGGATAACCTCAGCTAAAAAAGGAGACAATGCATATCAACAAGAGTAGCTAGAATAGCTCAACTTCCGCCAGTCTTCATTGTGTCTGTCCGCAGAAGTTCTCTTCCAGTCAACAGAAGAGAGAAGTTGCTCAGAAAGCAGAAGTGGCCTTGATGCCCAGAAACCCACCTGGGTGACATGTTTGGGCAGACCTCTGAAATGTGTTCGCTCACAACCGCCACAACGCTTCAAAACATGAGGTTGCAGAGTAAAGGGTATTTGATGTTGTTTACTGTAATTGCCAGTGTATACAGTGAAAGTGTGTTTGAAGGGCTGTTTTCCTGCTGCTCTACATTTCTGCACGTCACAGAACATTTGAAAACAGACGTGAATGGCAGGAGTGTTAAAAAACATATAACTTAAGTTACTAACGGTATGATTTAGCATATTATTGGTAAAAAATATATAGACAGCAACTATTAATATAATTTTTGATGGCTTACCTATTACCTCATTGAAAAATGTCCTCTACGAAGTGTGAAATAGTTGTTGAAATGCTGCACATTTTCCATCAGTTTCCAGTCAGTAGTTGTTTTCTAAATTGTAGATAACTTTAAAAATAGACTATATCACATTAGGGGTCCACAGCTGGCTCCTCAAAGCCCTGACTGGTGACAAACTATGCAGTTTACACAGCAACCAAGATTATCTTGGTCTGGCAAGGATTATCTTTTTTTAGATCTGGATTGGGATTATCTTGTTCTTCATTCCTAAAGATTTGTATAAAGTATTCTATTTCACACAGATTTTCCCCTATTTTTGCGGTTGATGCTGTTGTACGTCAAGATCAGATTCTGCATGGTTGCATTGTCACATTGCACAAAAAGAGAAACTTTAAATGATTTCCAAAATATTTTGCTGCTAGCAGTTTCAAAGTGTAGAAGATTGTAAAAGATTTTTTTGGCCATAGACAAACTCCTGATACCAAGAAGAAGAACAGTGGCAGAAAATCACCCCTTTTTCAAAGCGACCCGAGTACAGTCCTTGAAGAAAAGGAGCAAATTCTACTCTAATATTTAAGTGGTTGTGAATTCTGAAAATATCAACAGTAACGGCAAAGATGAACTTAGAATTCCTTGAAAATGTTTGCCATGTCCTTCCTTCCTCAGGGTGATGTACAGATAAAAGAGCTGAAGCGGATGAAATGTCAACCGCAGCCTTGCCACTGAATACACTTGCACAACCAGACGCAGCAGCAAAACACCCCCACACAGCGCACTCCACACACTACACACTGGAGAGGAAGCAGATCTGTTTGTGCTTGCTAACAACTTCCCACCCACCAGCCCATACACTTGCCTGCTAAACAACAAGTTAACTCTGAAGCCTAAAAACCATCTATGACAGACTCACCGCTCTCTTACTCTTCTTTTTGGTGCCGCGGGGTTTCTTGGCTTTCTCAATGACAGCGTAAAGCGCAAAACACAAGCGGCTCATGCGAGGCAGGTCAGCCACATTAATGTCAAACTCCAGCTTCTGATCCCACAAGGGTTCAGAGGACACCGCCACCTCTGAACTGGTCACCACCTTGCAGAGGAGTTCACTTCCATGGAAAAGGCCGGCCTGCACCACAAGCTGCAGGGGAAACACACACACACACACACACACACACACACACACACACACACACACACACACACACACACACACACACACACAAGTGATTAGAGCAGGGCATGCCATGTGGTTTGGAGACTGAGGGGTTTAACACCTGTGTGAGGAAGATTGTTTGTGGAAGATTTACAGACTTAATAGATGATTCAGAGTTTCCTGTGTCACTCAGATTATGAGTCAGAGGGTCCATACTTCAATAATATGTTGTGGGGAGGTAACACTCTTTTGATGCACGGTAGAATCCCTCGCAATGATCCACTTCTTTTGCAATCTAAATTCAGTACTGTACAACCATAAGCTCCTGTCTGTTGGCACATCAAGTTAGCCTGAATCTTTGTTTGCGAAACATATGACTGTATGTTCTCCAAAAACCTTTGCTTGCCAACTGCAGACCTCACTGATAATTACACGTCAGGGCAAATTTACCATTAGTCATGATGTGATCAGAGGCAGCAACCTTGGGGTTTATCATCCATTTAAAAAGTAACCCAGTTAGGCATGAATGTGAATTACAAATACAGACACACAGGAGTAACAGAGCTCAAAAATAATGTGGGTGTGCACTCCTGTTTCTCAAATTAGAAACAAAACTAACATTGCAAAAAAATGGTAGTATTATTGAATACTTCTTTATGCTTTTGCTCCTATTTACAGGGAATCACCTCTTTTTGAATTGCCTCTCATCAAATGTCAACACACTTAAGAGTCTTTTGACACAGTAACAGAATGCACGCATCACATACAAAAAAAGAAGTGCACTGAAAGCGAGAGAGGCAGCGACAGCAGTCTGCCTCCTTTCTTAGAATCTAGGCCTCAGAATGAGACATAAAAATCAGATAGGCCCTCCCCACTTCCTGTTTTGAAGTTAAACCAACCGCCTTGATGAATTATGGGAAACGTGTGGTTTGGACCATGCTACCCCTCTGTCACTTACATGTCAACCCCTGCTGTTCCTACAACTGAAATTGATATATTGGTAAACAAGTGAATGCCACACTCATTGAGCTGCAAAACAAGAGAAAACCCACGCAAAACCACACCAACCTTCATCCCTTCATCTGCGTTGACCCGGCTGCCCTGCAGCAGGTGAATGCAGAAAGGCTCATTGATGGACCACAGAGAGGACGTATTCTGCTGCAGAGAGGAGTCAGAAGAGATTACATTCAGTTTTTTTGCCTCTCTCTTTCACATCACTTATAAACTAGGTACAGTCACTGGAGTAGTAAATGACAGTGTTGCTACAACTTCCTATTTGGCAAGAAGTCTAAAGACAGATACACAACAGTGAACACTTTTAAAATTAAGTGAAAAAGGAACAAACTCTAAACCTGACATTGAACCTGGTTCTTACTTTGTATTGCAGATTCCTCTGTTCTTTGTAGGTGTGATTCAATTCAACACACACACATAAAGGTAAAATGTAATAGCACTGCTGCAAAGTGGGTAATATTCAGCATGCTCAATGCAAGCAGAGGTGTCAAGTGTAAATTATCAACACTGTGTCTCTCAGTGTGTTAAAACTGTTTCAAAGTCCACTGCTGTATGGCTGCTCGAAAACTGGAATAAAGACAGAAAGGAAAAGTGCGGCTCTGTTAATGAAATACAGCCATCACTCGCTAAACTCTCACCTTCTTCAGTGGCAATGGAGGAGGTCTGGACAGTGAGCGGCTCTTATACACCTGGTTGCACATTCTGCCCTGCTCCTCCTGGTATTTGCTAATGGTGGAGTGATGTACTATGGTTAAATGGGGGTTTTGGCCATTCCTTAAACACCAGACAATATACTGGGAACAAAAAAGGAAAGAGAGGTTTTACTGGTACAGCCATCAGTCAGTTCCCCCACAGATATTTCCCAGTGTTCTGATAGCGCTGGGTAACTCCTGCAGGCTGTTCATTTGCTGTAGGTTAATGCAGCTGAAATCTCATTATGTGTGGATGGGTGCAGTGCCTTTCTGCAGGGCTGCTCGACTGATATGAGTCACCCCTGCAGGTAGCTGGAGTTTCAAAATCTACAACAGGGTCTCCCATCACTGACTCAATACAGTCGTGATCTAAGAGACATTTCAGTTATTGTGAGCACAAAACACAAGCACAGAGCAGATGCACAACACAGAGAGAAAATCAATTACAAACTCTGGGAATGAACAGTTCTTCAGTCTCTAAAAAGTGCACACTCCTGTCAGGCTCTACGTACTGTCACTGATCAACAGAGGAACTCTTCAATGAGAATGGAGACTGTACCTTGATTAAGTGTAGTTACTTTAGGCATATGTTAGACTTCAAGTTGAGGGAACAACTAATTTCAATGATTGCAGATGTTATGCTTAGAAAGTCACAAGGCATTTAAGTCTCGATACAACAATATCTTAAAGATGTAGTCACTGATGAATCACTTTGTTTGGCAAACACTATGCAACAAATTGCAAAAAAAGAGATTTTAAACCATTTTTGGGACAATTACTCAAAAATATCAACCAGGGAAAAGATATAACACACAAAATATTGCAAACTTATGTCAAAACAACATTATGAAAGATGAGTAGAAATGTGAAATCCATTAATAAGGTCTTTAACTAGGAAGCTCGTGTAGTTTTTCCAACTTCTTTGTGAATCACAGCTTTACAAACACTAAGCAACAATTAAAAAAAGTCACATGTGGTGTGTGGGAGCCTTCAAACACAGAGGAAGAGTAACTTATTTACTAGAATGAGACCAGAATTAAGTTTTTGGATAACCAAAACAATCACAGATGGACATAACAAAAACACCAAACTTCCTGCATACAGTACAGAACCACAAGTCTGAGGCGTTATGTTGCTGAGGAGCTGGACTCTGAGTACTTTTATTCATTCATTCACTTTCCTAACCATTTGTTCTATTTCGGAGTTGCAGAGGGCCGGAGACTATCCCAGCTGTCATTGAGCAGAGGGTGAAGTACACCCTGGACAGGTATATCAGAAATACACTCCAACTCTAATAAAAGTAAAATAAAAAGGGATGAATCAACAGATCCTGATGACTAATACAACACCTATATGGAGAGTTATGTTGCTAACAGCAGCCAAACTGTTTTGTCAAATCGAATGCAGTAAAATAAAACTATATGTAGAAAATTAATCATGCTGTTTTTCAACTGAAAACCATTTCTATTTCTTTAGTTCAGATCACTCACTTTAAACTGGCACAGGGGGTGTTTCCCATAGATGAACTCCCATCTTCCATTGACCTGAAGGGTGTAGTCCTCAGGCTCCTGTCTCACTGAGCGAAACACAGTGGCTTTCTTCTTTAGAGCACTTCTCATCAAAGCCATAGGGAGATCCTGAGGGTCCTGCTGCAGCATGAAGCTTTCCTGTGAGGGTTACAGGCAGCTTAATTCCATTAAAAGTGACAGCTTTATACAGAAAGTCATACAAAATGTTGTTTTTATGTCTGTGGATATTGTTCCCTTATGAAGATTATGAGATGATGTTACTACTGCAGGAGGGGGATTTCCAAGTGTGTTCATGTTTACTTCATACAGTCTTCCAAAATTTGTCCACACAACGTGGAAATGTTTTTTCAAATCAAAGCTGTTCGGCTTTTCACAGGCCATCCCACTCCTGCTCTGTCATACCACAACTTATGTTTTAATGATCATGTCAACCTTTTCAGATATGAGTCATACAATCTTAAACTACATGTCAACTCACATCGCTAGCCTCAAACTTGACATTGATGAAAATCTTCTTGGAGTTTTTGGACTTCACATTTGCTGGTTGATAGCAGCACGGTTCCAGGTCACATGGGAAGCTATATCCCATCCACTGCTGCCATGGCAACAACTGCCGCTCCTGAGCCTTCTCCTCACAAAATGTACGCATCTTGGTTCGAAACTCGTTTACTTCGTGGTTTTTCTGGGCCTCAAACTCATGCAGACCTGAAACACCACAGTTGGACTGTCAAAAACAACAAGTATGCAAGGAGGGGAACAGTTTACTCATCTTGAAAGATTTCGCTCACACACACACAGCCACCATCTGAAAACAAGCCATGTTTTGATTAACTGAAACCAAAAGAGGTATAATACTACCAAATTTATGACTTACTTAATTTAAGCATATCAAAGTAGAAAAAGGATAACATCATTTAAATGTACGAAGTCCAAACCGACAAATTGGAGAAAATTTAGGAGATAAAACTGGAAAAACCAAATAAGCATTGATTTGCTGCAACTTGACGGTAGTTATCCTTTGTTGAAGACAGCCACAGTTTTTCAAGAAGACAAACATGATGTACAACACACAACATGTGACACAACAATTCAATATCTATGTCCTCATAGTTCCTTCCTTGTTATCGTTTCATAAGTTTAAAGATTTGGAGGTGTATTAAGGTTCAAACAGAGAGAATAGGATTGATTCTACAATCAGAAAAGCTCTAACTCGGCGTCAATAAGCATCTCATCTTTTTAATCTGTTGGAAAGATGTCAGAAACATTTGGATGGATGTTTCCCTGATTGGAAGAGCCCATTAGAGTTTTAGTCTAAATAGAGAACTGGACTGTCTTTTTCTTTTACCAAAATCTGAAAAACAAAATAGTAACTGATAAAGCTCAAAGAGAGCGTTGTACAATATGTCAAATAAAAACTCTCCAAAACCCTTTTTCAGCAGAATGATAAGACACTCTTACCAAATCTTCTTTGCGACCTTTGTGACCTATCGAATTTCCCCGCAGGGATATATACAGTTCTTCTGATTTTAAAAATGATAATGGCCGATGTGTTATCTGAATGACAAAGCTGAAAAGATAACATGACAAAAATCACACTATCATAGAGCCATATGGACTCAGTGCTTGCATTGCTATGGGTAACTATTCAATACACTGGAGCAGCTCTTCTTCTGAGGAAAAACAACAGCATGACAAAACTCTCACCTTTATTTTTGTTCACCTCTTATCTTAAAAATAATAACATGATACTACAATTACAGAAACATCTTTATGTGGGCCTCATCAGTGAAGCATGTCTCTAACCTTTGCCAATTAACAAGCTGATTTGGGTGTTGGTGAGTTTCTCCACTCTGTCGCCTTCCCTTGCCACCAGCCTCAGGACACACATGAAGGGCCGCACGTCACTTATGCGCCTTGATTCCTCCTCCAGTTCCTCTCTCTCGGCTGTTTCATTGATGCAGGTGAAGACATATGCATCAGGATCTCCTAGTGCACCGAAAAGGGCCTCACTTTTGGCATTCTTCCAAACCATCTACAGAAGAAAAAAAACAAAAAAGCAACAGAAAAAAACAAGATTACAAGATTTCTCTGGATTCAACTTGAGGCATGATGGTATAGAAAATTATCACTAATTGTGTCCTCACATTCTTCAGAATAAAGGCAAAATTAAAAATCAAAGTGCTGTTTCTGTTGGATTAATGTATCTGCTGCTACTTGACTTCTCTCTCCCATACGCAGAACGACAACACTAAAAGAGATCCTGGCTGATTTGAATATTCTCTAGAATTCTTGTATCTGTGTTGCAAAGATATTTTATGTCTTAATCATCTTAACAGCCCCCTAGACTATCATTATTTAACTGTTAAATCTAACAACTGCAGTGGCACAACTGTTGGCATAGAAACAGCCCATTCAGATTTAACAGCAGATTTGATTCAGTGAAGAGCTGGCTGTGTGTACCAAGGAAGAAAGCTGTAGCTCTGTCTGTGACACTTGCATCAAAATTTCCAGACAAATCTGAAGCACAAGAAAGCATTGTTTGGATTACGTACTGTTTTCATTAGTTTAATGTCTGAAGGAATATTTGGTCATCCAATCTTCTTAAAAGCCTATTGAGTAAATATTGTAAATAACAACTGCACTTTGTGACTGTGGTCCCGAGAGCTGCAATGCTGTTCTGCAGTCGATCGATTGCAATCTCTTAAAAATGCAATGTTATCTTATGAATGTGCAACATATGATAACATCATAACATGTGAAATATTCTGCCAGAGCTCCTCTGAGATTCAAATGCAGTGGCGCTAACAAAAATGGACATACTTTTTTAATGCTTTTGATGGTGTCGTTTCCTGTCACAGGGAATTTGAGGAAGATCCCAGTGGGCAGCAGAAAGTCCATCATGATCTCCTGGTCCCCCTCCTTCTCCCATTCCTCCTGCATCCCATACTTCCCCGGGGGCATGGTGACGGCCTCTCATTTACCGTCAGCTCCTCTGCTGCTCACCAGAATACACGTCGAACGTCACAGTCACACACACACAGTCACACACACACCAAAAACACGGTCAGGATTGTTTTTAAAAACCTTGAATGATTTAATCACAGGTATTTTCATTGGAATCTGAGAACATATTTAGAAAACATGATATGAATGAATTAATGAAAGAATGAATGTCTCACTGACTTAAAAACACCAGCCTGTAGTTTAAGACACTTGATCTATTCCTTCATCTTCTAAATGCTGCTCAGTGAATAAGTGAAGACATTTAGATCATGAATAGAGTAGTAAACAAAAGCAACAGTATAAAGATGTCTCTGTAAGATTTTGGATTAAGTGTTTATGATCTGCACTTCACTCAAGGGAACTGACTTTATTTATACAGCTCACTTAACTATTACCCCACCTCAACGGGAATGCTAAGAAACACTACACAGAGGTCAAATGAGGTGAAGACACCTTATATATACACTACAGTTAACTGATAGACACTAACATGACACACATTTTTATAACTATTACACCATCTTCCTGTTATTCTAATCAACCGACTGTAAAAAGAAGTTATCAATAAATTGCTATAGAGTAATTCTACCCTATGCCTATTGATTTTGGTAAGAAGAAACCTGTGCTGTGTCAGCTGCTCTGTCTGCCTGATATAGACTGACTTTATACATAAATGTATGGGTTATTTTAATAAAAATTAAAATAAATTGGCGCCACATAATGATACATTATATGACGAGACATTTTTTAAATTTAGCAGCTGGGAATAAACCAGAACATGAATATACAGTTTAAGTTTAAGCGAGATATTTTACTGTGTGCGGCTTGCACCTAAATATACAGTATTGCGAAAGCAACATGTTGGCTCTATCCTTGCCTGTCAGCTCTACAAGTCCTCGGTCATCTCCTCATGGTTTGTCTCCCAGCGAACATGGGCGCTGTGGTATCACGGTGACATGTCTCCGTCAAACGGCTGCAGGTCTATCCGTGAGGTGAGGGAGGTGTTGTAAATCCAACTCAGACAGACGAGCCGCTCTTTCGGCTCATGTGAAGAGGTGAAGCGTGTCCCTGCGTTGGTCAATGCCTCGTTACTGTCAGTCATGCAGATGTTGAAGCGCTGACTGACGTCCGCGCGCAACTCTCCAGCTCTCCGCGCGCTGAGGGACCGTCTACCAACAACCTACCTCGCGTGAAGTGAAAGTGATATTTTTGATATTCGAACTTCCGGCTTAAGTCCCTCCAAAATACTCGTAAGGCGGAGGATGTGTCTATTTAAGTTTATAAACACTTGATCCAGCAACATGTGAAACATGTTACTCCGGGCCAATTAGTAATTTAATTAGTTATCAGCCGACCGAAAATAAACAGGAAGTTAATATTGGTTGATTTTTTTCACTTGTGCAAAACAATGACTGTATGATATTTATTGGCTAACTCCATATTCTGACATGTGTGTGTCTTCTCTAATTATTTAGTCTGTTCTGTTTTTTAAAATCTGTTTACAAGGAGAGAGTTGCTTAATCTTGTGGAAAAAAAAAGAAACACAACAGACGTGAAAATCCTGATAACGGTAAAGAAGTCCTCTTTTGAAAATTTCATGGTAACACTTTTTCTGAACCCACTTCTGATAATGCATCAGAAGCACATTTATAAAGATTTATAAATGCATCACGTCTTTATAAAATATGAGCATTCACAAATACTTATAAAGGATTATAAGCAGTGAGCATAATGCTTTATCAACATGTGGTTCATAATGCACAAGCCTATACCTTTATCACTCTCTGTTGTAAATTATGCTTATAATCACTTGTAAGGATTGTTATAAAGCATTACAGATGCTTTAATCTTTATCAATGTGCTTTGGATGCATTATAAGAAGTGGATTCATATTAAGGTTTACCAACTTGACTGATATAAAAATTAGTCTTCTGAAGTATAGAAAGCCAAATGTGCTTGAAATATCAGATGTAAAATAAATGGAAAAAAAGTTACCAGATTAGCGCACATTTTTTAAATTAATCTTACTGATTCCAAAATAATGTCTTGAATTGCTCAAACCAAAACACAATGAAAGTGAAGCGAAACTGACTCCAATGAGAGCTAACGTACAGTGCAAGTACCTCAAATTAAAAAAACAAAAACAAGAACAAAAACAGTACTTGTGAAAATTTGCTTTGCAGATTTCTGTCAGATTTTGAGAACTGTTAAGAGGAGAAAAATATCAAACAAGCTGTCTATTTGCTGATTTACCAAAAACTTATTGGTACACATGGAAAAGTACATAAAGTAGCTACTTCTTCTTTTGTTTCCCTTCAAACATATTGTGAATTTCACAAGCTCAACATACTGCGACCCTAAATAGCAAGGGAGGGTCTCCTATTTTTTAAACTTCTTGTAAGTCACACTGGGGTTAAATATATTTCTGTGTGCGGTTGTTTCTGGGTAATGCTGTTTCACTTGAGAAAGTCCAGCCTTACATGTTGCTGAACTTTTGTGGGTTTTTAACTCTTACAAGAGTAGATTAGAAGTTGATTTTGCAAATTTATACTGAGGATGTGGATTTAAGGGGATTCCATCCATGATGCAGAATAATGAGACATACAGAATTTTGAATGATAATCCAAGTTTTAGTAAAAAAAATACATTAAAAGGATACATGTGCCATTTTTTAAAAGGAAATCAGAACCCACAGTTAATGAAAGCTTTGTTTTTCTGTCATTGTCCAGAGGTAGATATGCATAACTTAACTGAAACTCTTTGAGGGGAAACATGCCTTACCTTTTCACATTTCCATATAATAACTAACCAGTGACCACTTTTGGTGTTGCAGATAGTGGTGCACAATAACACCACAGTCATGGAAGTGGAACATAAACCACAGTTTTACTGTACTATTGAGGAAAGAGGAAATGGGACAGGCCATCTACATCATGACACTTTAACTCCTAACTTTTCGATAACTTATGTAATAAAAAGGAATTACTTTCACTTTCTACCAATGCTATACTATATTTTATCAAGAAATGCACAATATTAACAAAAAAATAAAAAGCAAAAACCTAGTAAATATCTATTCATCCATCTATCAATGTATCTATCTGACTAGTTTACAGGTGTAAATGTTTCATGTGTACAGTGAGTCTTGGTGGTCCTAAAACTGGCTTGCTGTCTAGTGCCACCTTGGAGGATACAGCCCATGTGTCTATGTATGTGTGTGCATGCATGTGTGAGATCCGGGTAACTAAGTTCATGTTTTCCGAAAAACACATTTGTTTGTGACTGCTGTGTAGACCAGCTGGTGAAAACAGGAAGTGATTGTGCAGAAGAGAAACTTTCGGCCAGAGCTGCAGACTGACAGTATCAACCCGTTTCCCACCATGTACCCCTCAACCATCAGTATACCAGGAGACAAAATGCAAAATCTAACATTTAGTCTGTTTCATCTTGCAAGAGAAACGACAACTACCTTCTTTTAGTCAGAAAAATATTACTCTTCGGATCGGGGTTACAGAATTTGAATTATTTGATAATTACTTGCAGATAGAACCTTGAATAAGCTTCTCGTTGGCATTTTAAATGTAAACAAAGAAACACATCCTTTATCAGAATCACCAATGTTTTAAGAGAAGAAGGGGACAACATTTTTTAAATAATTGCTTGAGTCCTGCAGTGAGTGAACAGGTATTAATAGGTAGGTCATGTGACTTTCAGATGTGTGACCTGTTTACCGACATCAGGCTTACCCACAGCTCTGTGGGGGGACAAAGAAGGGGGTTTTGACTTCCTGCAGCAGCATTGCTGTAGCCCTCACAGCCAGAAGTAAACAAGTTTAGGTTTGTTTCTGTGGTTCTCCTCTTTTATAGTGTCTACTTGCGTTAGTCCCCCCCCCCCCCCCAACTTTAAGAGAAATCGCTTTCAGTGTTCGTATGTACATTTGTCTCCTTTGGGAAAAAATTAAGGAATACATGTTTGACATTTCATCCAGAAAACTGAAGCAGAAATTTTTATTTTTTTTTATCTTGGCTTCCCCACAAAATTAAATAAAGAAAATTAAAAAAAAATAAAAAACAAAATTGAAAACAAAGCAATTAAGCTCAGAGTGAAAAACCCCGAGGTTTTAAATGCATTTAATTTCTGTTCAGCACCAAAATGCTACATCAGGTTCAACTTCGGTTCGTTTGTCCAGTTTTTATTTTGTATTTTATTTTTTACGAATGCTCATATTTCCTCTCACTTGACCTCCTTAAAATGTCACTGGTAAAAGAAGAAATTTTAGTTAGCACTCAACAGTGCTGTCCTTTTTCCCTCTTCCGGAGTGTCACCACGTCTCTGGTAGCTTCTGTGTGTGGTCAGCAGTGAGAACTTCCCGGTTTATCACATTGTCAGGACCAGCAATTAGGTTAAGATGGTGAACAAAAAGTCACAGAGACTAAAGGAGGTAAACTGCAGTTTACTCTGAGATCAAAAAGAGGGCACCCTTGAGATAACTTTTTATACATTAGAAAGGCCTGAGTCTCTATATCATGACAATAATTTAGGAAAAAAATACTTTATTGAAAATGTGTATCGGAGTCGAGATGAAACAAGCAAATGCTTTCTACAAACACACACACCAAACAGTTTCAGCACACAACATTGTCATAATCCTTCACACCATCAAAGAAAACATTGTAGAGAACGCAATGTAAATCTTTATTGACTGACCCTTGTTTTAACGGAGTATTAATGTGAAATTCAGAAAAAGCAGCAAAATAAACTTCAAATATCATATCAAATAAACCACCTTCTTTAACTAAGACACAACAAGGTTTGTTTCAGTATGGCTTTCAGTAAGGACTTAAATTTCAAAATTTAATGTTCCTTCTTCTCAGGAGAACATATACTGAGTTGCACACCAGGTATGACTGCATGAGTCTGTTTTTATCCATTTCACCGTTACCTTTTAACACACTGTGTTTAAAATGAATTTCTCAAACCCGTCTTCAATGACAGGTTGTGAAACAATAGTGCTTTAAAAGCTGTCACTTGACAACTTTTTAAAAAAGGTAACATGTTTTACCTTTCTGAAAAACTTAAACTTTACAGTTTCTTTAAACAATTAAGTTTAGCTCATTCATAACAATACAAAATGCTCATGCTGGCAAACCCAGTGATTACTCAGGAAAAAAAAAAAAGTAATTCAACAAAAAAATCAAGTGCATGGTCACTCAACAAGGTGAAAACATCTCCAAGTCAAAATTACATATGAAATGTACATAGAATCAAAACTAACCAACTGTAAACAGTATATAACCTTCAACATTCAAAGGTTCACCCTTTATAGCTCAAATTTTGAACATGTCCACAGATCAAACATTTGTGTTCCTTCCATTTGAAGAACCATTTTAACCAAATAATCAAAACAACACAGATAAACAATTGAAATAAACTGAATCCTCAGGTTCTGAGCCTGACAAATGTACAGCCCAGTAGAGTTCCCAGGTCTTCAGGTAGTGGTCTTTTAATTGTTCCCAAAGTGAAAACAAAAACAAACCATGAATCATCATTCCAATATTACGCCCCCCATCTGTGAAACAGCTTACCTGCAGACCTGAGAGTGACACCTACTGTTCATATTTGTAAAAGGAAACTCTACCTACCTTTTTACTCTGGCTTTTAGTTGAATTCTGTTTTAATCTCTGAATCTGCATTATGTGATTTCATACTATTTTGGTCTAAGAGTTACTATTTTGTGTTTGATAACCTCATTTTTAATTTACTTTCTTTTATTGCTTGGTTTTAAGACATTTTTAATTAATTAACTTTTAACGCTTTATTACCTTTATTTTATTTTATCATGGTTTTATCGCTTTAGTTGTAAGTCCAGCGTTTCCTCATTTTTTCAAACTCAAAACAGCGTTTCCTCAGTCACCTGTGGCAAGTTGAAGAGTCCTTACCTGGTCTTTTATGTGAGTATGTGAGTGCTGTATGTGTTGAATGGGGGTTGGGAGGGTGGGCAGGTTACTGTATTTGTAGTTATTTTATTGTACTGTTTTTTAAACATCCTGCCTGAATGGACAGCACTTTGTGCTACATTCTATGGATGACAAGTGCTTTGGAAATAAAGTTTGATTGATTGACTGACTATTCAGTACAAAGAAATTCCAAGCTCAGTAAGGAATCTCTGTGCCTCTTATCTGCAGCTTCAAATTTAAACACAATTTCTTTTTACATGTTAATTATTACAGCTGCGTTATAAAATTATTTCTCAGTATCATTTTATGAAACATCATGAAACTCTTCCCTTATTTAGATGCTTTCAAATGCAAGTTTTAGCTCTCAGAAACTCAGTGCTTTCATCAGTTTCATGAATTTTTTTTATTTTATTTCTGAGCCCAGGAGTTTTTCTTCTTACAAACAAGCTGGTACGTTTACTGTAATAAAAAAAAAGCAATGGCTTTAAAAAGAGAACTATTTTAGTGTTAGATGGTGACATGTGTCACTTTGGTGTGAGATAAAAGGGTCTAAATATGAAGAAAAAAAAAAGTGTAACAAAATAATTTAACATACCACTTTTCTCAGCCAAAAAAAGGGAAAAACCGTATTGAAACAACGACGGTACAAATACAAATATGTACAAATTTCAAAACTGCCCAACTATCATAATCCAGCACTGACACAACATGCTGAAAATAACTAGGAATTTTTTTTTCAATGAAAAGTGCAAATGCACCAGTCACTATCAGTATAAGGAGACAGACCTGACCCTGTGTCTTTGAGCAGCGTTGACTACACAGTGCACGTTGGCTACACACTTCACAGATTAGGTTTTTTTTCCCCCCAGAAAGTCCTGGGGCATCAGTGCCAAACTTGAGCCTTTTAAATCATTTATACATGCACCTGTGTTCAAGTACGAGCAGCAGTGTCAAAACAAAGGAAGGCAACAATAGCCAAAATATACTGAAGCAGTCAGTCACAACAAACAGTGGCAAAAACTTAATTGACTTCCCTGACAGTTTTCTTTACGCAAATTGAAGCTTCTGCGCCCAGATTCAATCCATGAAACTCACTGAAGCCATCGGCTCTTTCAGCTGACGTCTGTACTTTTGCAAAGCCCGAGCAAACAAGAAGCTCTCTACCAGAAAGTTTCCTGGAGTCACTGATGGACCTCTAGGTCCACAGACATATCTGGGGTCAAGACCAATCCACCCTATACAGTCGGAAGAGAGAACCTCTGCAGACCCAATAGCTCATCTCCAGTTGTGGTATATGTAGAAGCTGATGCAGAAAATGTTGGAGGTCAGACTCACAATCAAAAGCCCTGGCCAGAGGAGCTGCTTCATGAAACCTGGACATGATGTAACAGAGAGAGGAAACGATTTCATCAAAATATTCATCATAAGTGGCAGAGGTGCCCAGACTCTTTACTCCAACCCCTGACTTCTGGTCCAAGTGTGAGCCATTTCTACTGGAATGGCTGAAAAAGAATACCATGTTCACTCTGCCTGAACTCCAGTGCTACCTACAAGTTTGATTTCTGACTTTATTGAATTTACCCTTGGGGATAAATAAAGTTCTTCTTACCTTATCTTTAGTGTGTGCTTAGGTTTCCTTAATATTCAATTAAGTCACTTCATTTGTGAATAATTAATTATTTAATTTTGAGCTAATTTCTGGTTTGATTTGGTATGATGTAAATATCTGATGTGGATAGACAGGATTTATTTTACCTTGGAGATAGTAGTTAGTACATTCCTTTATTGAAAGGTAAAAGGCAATTTATAAACTTCCCTCATGGCAAAACAGAGTTCTTCGAGTCCTCTGCAGTCCTCTCCTCCTTTTTTAAATTCAGGCAGAAAACGATACAAATACCTGGGATCTTGTGTAGCCACCTTTTTCTATGATCACAGCTTAGCACACTATTGGCATTCTCTTAACCAGCTTCATGAGGTCATCGCCTGGAATGTTTTTTTATTAACAAGTGAGGCTTGTATTTTCCAGAGGCAGGGTTATTACACAGTCCTATACAGTGATTAGCACTATTAGACTACTGTTCTCATCTATAATATAGCAAGAACTATCAATAGATGCAAAAACCATCAAATGCTATAACAAAAATGGCTTTCATGAAACAGCAAATTAACAGCACAATTAGAGCCCCACATTTCAGAGTTAACATCAGCTGTTCAGGAGACTTCATGATGGTCAGATTGCTGCGTAGAAGCCTCTAGTGATAAGGAAAGACTAGTGGGGAATTGGCATTAAACCCCAAGAAATACTTTGTTTTGATGAGTCCAAATCAGAGATTTTTGGTTCCTCTTGCCTTTGTGAGACACTGAAAAGGTTTACAAGTGCTATTCCTATCACAAGGAAGGGAGGAGAAGTGTAGCCTGGCTGGGCCATCCTGTTGCGTGAATCACTTGCCATTCCTTCACACCTCCTCGTGTGAAGGAACGGCAAGTGATTCACGCAACAGGATGGCCCAGCCAGGCTAGGAGAAGTGGAGGAGTGGAGGTGCTTTGCTAATGACACTGTTGGGGATTTATTTAAAGTTCAAGGAACAAATATTAAGCATAGCTAGCACAGCATTCTGCAGCAACATGCTATCCCATCTGGTTTGGTAAAAGAGAAGTTTAACTCAAGAATCACACAGGTGCAATTCAGCAGTTTAAGGAATGTTCATGAATCTGACATGGACTACTCTCAGAAACCTTCAGACAGATCCCTGCATTCTCCTCTCAGCAACTAATTTAGTTTTGATAGTCACAATACACTGTGATTTAAGCTTTATTTAGGACCCCAGACAAATACACAGTAAGACAGCAGGCAAGAAACTAAAGCCTGATACGACAAATTTTGGAAGACACATCCTCCTACCTTTGGAAGTAGAACTGCACTCTGGGGTCTCTGTCGTAGTGCCGACCTTACACACAGAGGACTCTGAGGAGCTGTCATGCTGCACTCTCTCTTCCATCACACTTCCATCCCAAAACACTGAATTCATATCTGCAAAAAAAGGGAACTAGATTAACTATAGAACCATAAATAAAAATCAAAAAAAGTCTGTATTGAATAAGAAACATTTCTCTTTTTAGTGAATAAGAAACTTTTCTCTTGTGTTTAGGGTTCAAGAATGCTCTAGATTGCCATCTGGTGGTAATATCTACAATGACATGAAGTCTGTAGCAAGGCATGCTCCTAACCCTAAATACAATTTTTATAAGCTTGCCCCAGCTGTTGTTACCATTTGGTCTTGAAACGAGTGGAGAAGCAGGGGGTGAAAATGGGGAGGGTGACACTGGCGACGGTTCGTGCTCTCTGGAGAAAAGGCGCAGACTCCGGCCGCTGATGTTGAGGCGAGCAGGGCTGATGAGGGGGCGTCTTTGTCGGGCAGAGCTTGAACTTGATGTGACTGACCCAGCTACAGAAGGAGTCGGAGACGGGCCTGGTGATGATGGACGACTCCCTGATTTCAGCGAAAAATAATCTGTGCCGAGAAAGGAGTGAAAAACGTCAAACAAGAGCTCTACAATGAATGCCTTTAGGTAGTATCATGAATCTCTTTGTTTTAGGGGACTCCTAGATAAATGATGTACAAAAACATACAATATAAAGCAAACCTCACTGGTGAAGGCATTGAGCATTAAGGTACCATCCAGCTCCCTGCTTGCTCAAAAGAAATGGGGGCTGTCACAACTTTTATATGCTAGGACTGCAAAGGTCCCACACTGTATTTGGTTTTGTTTGTTTTAGGGGAGACATGCAGGCTAGAAAAGCAGCCTCATCAAATAAGTTTTCACATGCTTACAGAGCATTAACATCACAGGTTCATGGAGAATATCTATCATTTTGAAACAAATTGCAATTTGCAGCTGAAAGAAATATACTTGAACAAATTAATATTAACATCAATCTGGATACAAATGGGGACTGTGTGTATAAGAACCAATTGGATTCAGGCAACCTGCTGTGATTCCCAGCCATACATATGACTGTATTCAGTGTGCATCATCAATAGTATAAAAACATGTCATGTTTTTTGTACCTGAAGGCGGGGAGTCTTGGCACTGAGATGTTGGTCTGCTTCCACTAAACAGGTAACCAGAGTCTGAAAATAACATCAATAGGAGACACAATTAGACCAATTTAAATAGATCTAAAACAAGGCTTTCCTTAAACCTGTACTAGTCATTTTGTCAAAAATACAAGTAAAAGTACAAGTAAGGAAGTATGCTGATGTTTGTTTCAAACAGCCTCATATTTATAAGTGGGGGGGGGGGGGGTTACCTTTTATGATAAATCAAAGATAGTCTGCCCCCTTGTGGCAAAAAAATGACAATACAGCCAGGGAGGGGGTTAATCAAATAATGTACCAAATGATGATAATGTCCTGGTTTATAGAAAGACAGAATGGCTGAGGCAGTTTGATAATCTACTAAACACTAAGCATATTTACACTTTACTATCTCACATGACAAAAGAAGGCTGCAAAGACTCACAACTGAGAACTCACACTCGGTAATGTAAACAGCATCGACACCATACTTGAACTGCTTTCTCCAGTCTTGAGAAGTCATATTCTGCCATTAACACCAAGCAAGACTTCTCCCACTCACAAGAATCACATAAACTCAGTCAGAAGCATCATGCTACTAGGAGAAATTAGGTTTTTATTGCCTTGCTCAAGGTCATTTCTGCAGTTGACAGGAGGAGTTGAGGTTGAACTGCAAACCACACTACAGAGAGGAGACCAGCTATGACTAACACAAATGCACTGGGAGTCATTTGGGTTTGGAAAACGGTCTTGATCAGAGAAGTTAAATTTCTTTAGTGTCTGTTTGTGGAAAATAACAATCCTTTTGAACTCTAACTTTCTATAAGCAAATAAAGAAACAATCATTTGACAGACATCTGTGGAGCCAACAGAAATGGCCTCTTCATTTTATTATATTCTTAAGAAAACTATAGAAACATAGTGATGACAACAAGTGTGGAAAAGGCATCAGTGTGACCAGTAATGTACAATATATGGCAGTAACGACAAAACTCTGCTCCTGCTGAAATACCCCTTAAAAAAAGTCAGTCCCGACCCAGTTCTATTCTCAGCGACAGGGACTAGATGAATCTTATCAATTATGAATCATGCCTCTTTGTGAGGCCAAACATGGCAAATCAAAACATAGCATGTCTGCACAGCTATGTAGAGGCAGAAATTTGCTGTGGTGAGCTACTTGAGGTATTATTTTGAGTCTTTGTCATTAAGCTTTATTTAGTTTTGACTTTTCTCTAATCAAAGATGTTCTTTACGTTGATGCCAAAAGAAATATGCCAAGGTAAGATTGTCTGACCTGGAACAAGTATTTTAAACGTTACCTGTTCTGGTGAGTGAGCGGACGGTGCCCAGGCGAAGGGCTGTCATGAGGCGTCCTGGCAGAGAGGAGGGGGAAGCCTTGCGCTCACGGAGAGTCTGCTTGCGGTTGATCAGCAGGGAGATGTTGGGGGGTGGGCTGGGGATGAAGGAATCTGCCTGGCTATTAGTGAACAAAGAAGGACCGCCTGCAAGCGGGACTGCAGATCTGCCGGCGAGGTATCTGTAACACAAGAGAAATGGAACCGTCTGCTACCTGAAATCCAAATGATAACACTTTTTAAACTAACATTAATATGAAAAAGTTTTACAAAGAAGAAGCATTTAACTGTACAGCCTCAGGAGAAAATTGCCACCACAAACAGTACAATTGATGTGGTTTCAGGTTCCAACTTTTTCTTTAAAACAGAAAAACCACCTTGACATGCCATATGGTTCAAAATAAAATGAACATTCTCAACAATGGATAAAACCTCTTTTACTAGAAGTTAAACAAGTATACGGTTGTCATGTTGTTTGAGCATGTAATGACAGTAGTTAGGACAAGACTGCCACTGTGATGCTCCTGCAGCTGCTGTGCAGCTTGCAGCTGCTGAAAGTTCCTGCAGAACCAAAGCTACAGCAGAAATGCTACTGTGCAGTGCAGCTCCACTCACTCACTTCTCACAGGATACAGACAGAAACCCAAACATGATTTGTGCCAATTTGGTCACTATTCAGTTCCTTCAGCAGCTGAGATTTTACTCAAACTTCAAAATTGTGTGTTCAAGATAGAGATTGAGGAGAGAAACTAATTAGTGCGGACGTTAGTGCAATTTTTTGAACAAAGAGAGAAGACATGTCCTTTCACAAATTGTTTATTTGAGGTACACTTATTCTGATGTACAGCAAACGATCCTATAAAATCCTAAAATTGGCACCTGACAAATGAGCAAGGCACCAATTTTGATATTAAAAACAGGATGTGTCATAGGGTATGTTGCAGGACACCAAGGACGGAGCTGAGTTTTCAGCTGATGCTGAATGCGCTGACACTGTTACAGGTCAGATTGTTACAATTTAACGAGCTTATATCAAATACCATACAATCTGTATTCTTAATTGGCATTAAGCATCTTTGAATATTTTAAGGAATCCTACATAACCTTTTCAACTACTATTAGCTCATTATTATAGCTTGGAGTAGAAAATCATTGGCTAGCTGTAAAAATGGCTTCACTTAGTTTATACTATCTCAAAGTCTGAGTCTTTTAGTGTTTCTGCAACACACACACACAGCATTAACATAAAGACACGGCACAAACAATTTTGTTAGCAACTTATTGGAATTCATCATAAAACAGCTTAGTAAAAAAGTTAACATTCATGGCTGCATTATCAAATAGGTAGTTTCATGGCAATTACTGTTTAAAATGCATACGGAGAAGCTCCATATAGCAGCTTATATTCAGGATTAACATACTTGTTTAAATGAAGCGCTTCGAGACCTAAGTGTGTCAAGCAGCTGACTGTCAACTTATTGAGGACATACAGTAAATCTCTCAAAACCACACAGAAATACCCACACAGTCTGGATCCTCCACATAAACATGCAAACTGAAGATACAGACAACAAACTTTTGGCAAAGCATATAAAACTTTGGCAAAGACATGCATTTGAAGATAAACCCTGCAGTGAAAAGAGTTTGAAATATAGTAATGAAAACACTGGCTACTCTGAAGGTTGACAATACACAACACACAGTGAGATTTTATCTAAGAGCTTAAGTAGACATTAAAACTAAACACAAATCACACATTTTTTTCCCTGTACACTATTCATGAACCAGATTCAACTTAAATGCCCTCATTAGAAAAGGTTGGCAAAAAAAATTAACCTTAAAGTGTAGTGTGATGTGTTTGATCTGATACATTAAATCTTCACCTAATGTTTGAGGTGTTTTTTGTCACATTTTGCTGCTCAATTGAAAAGAAAGTGACCGCAGAGCTCTCCCTCCCTCCGCAGCATGAACAGGGAAGGAAATTCCTAACACAAGTGCTCACTCTATTGGCCCAGTCATAAGAGCTGACTGACTTTCTTGGACCAGTCCACTTGTGACTGGGTCACCCAGGAATTACGATAGGTGCCATCATGGTGAACAGCCCTTAATTGTGCAAAAACTTATTCTTGAAAAGCAACATCACAACAAGCATATTTTCCTCATAACCTTGAAAATGCTTCTGTGATGTCTTGTATTTTAAAATGCTGTTATTGGAAATATAAAGTAAAGTCAAAGCTCTGATAATACTGCACCAAAGGTGCTGGTCTGAGAAAACAACTCCAGCCACGGGCATCACAACATGCAACATCACAGTCACAGTAATCTACCACCAAATACAATCCACAAAAGTCTACAGTTCATAGTTTCTAACACACTTCAACATTACCATCATGATAATTTACTTTGACCTCAGGACATTTGAATGAATAAAACAAATCAGATTAGCAGAAACAAATAAGTAAGTTTGCAATGTTAATCCATGCAAATCTCTTCTTCTATAAGTGTGTTTGATGAATCAATAAATAAGTTAGATGGAAGAAGAAAGTTCAGTGTTACTGGGAACAATGTGTGAGTGAGAGACGCATGTTAATGTAGTGATTTCATATTTAAATACCATGCAGACTTTTGATCTGAGGTGTCACTTGAAACTGAATTTCTACAGTTTACATTAAAGTTCCAGTAAAAAATATTTTCATGGTTTCAGCTACATCTTACATTTCTAATACTGATGATCAGGTAGTGGCTCATCTGAGGTAAAAACTTACTACGATCACTAAACTACACTTAGCTTTATAAAGTCATTTCCTACAACTATTACACTTGACAGATTTTCCAGCAACTGTATTCAGTTGAGTACTTGAACACTTCATAATCCTTGTCTGTTCATGCATGGATACAAGGCCAACAGAAATCAGCAAGTTCACTTACCATCAGCAAATGCTTGGAAAAGCCAAACATCTGTCAGGTAGTCATCTAGAGGCACTATTTAAACTACCAGCATTAGGGCAAACAGACAGCAACAACACATACAAGTACAGGCAGCAACAAAGTTCTGATGAAGTTATCCCACATTCACTTACAGGCAGCATGAACTGTGGTTCAAATAGGGAAAGAAAAGTCACTACAACAGAAAGCTACTGTTTCTACCGAACAGAATGAACAGTATTAGTGTGCAGAGGATGCCTGGTTCCTAAAACAATAACAGAGGTGTCACGCAAAGAATTTTTATGCATTTCACACTGGCAGGTTTTCATGACAGCCCTTGAGAACTGGTCGGCTGCTTTGGCGCTGATGTTATTGAAGGAAAATTCTTTAAAGCCATCACCACAAAAAAAATAATAATCAAAATGGCTGGAGAATACTCTGAATGAACATTTTTTTATACGCCTATAAGAGTACCGGAGAGAGATGTACGTAAAAGAACCACATCTTCCAAGTGGTGCTAAGGCTCTTTGAAAGTTGGCACTAAATCATGCAATGAGGGAAAACACATAGAAGGTATTAATAACTACATTCAAAATGCTGTAAGAGTAACACAGTGTGAACAAAGGGTTTAGTACTAGTTGGGTTAGTTTAAGTAATACTATCACCACCAAGAGTCAGTCAATCACATATCTGTTAGGGTTAGTAATGGATAGGCATATAGTGCATAGATGGATTGGAAAGCATTTGTATGTTACCACATGATTCATGAAAGTTTAAAATGCTTACATTGTGCTTTTGTGCTTTAATGTAAGTACCATTAAAAGTTTGTAACCATCATGGATCACACATACAATCATGTGCTTCTTGTTCACCATTCATCTGTCATCACCTCAGTCTTTACTACACAATAGTACAAGGAGGACTATTATGAAAAAGGGTCATAAACATGTAAAATTATGTGATTTGATCTGGTTCTAATGAAGAAAAGCATCTCAAGTTAAGTGAACCCTCCACAAAATCCCACAATTAAAACACAGTTTGAACATTAATGCTCAGACTCTGACCTTCCATTTCTGGCTTTTCTTGAACCCAGCGGTTTGCGAGATACCACAGCTGCAGCAAAGCTGACGAGGCAACAGAGGGATATGATACTGAGCTTTGCTGTGTCCATCCAGTCCAAGGTACCAGGCATGTAGCTCTCAGTCATGCAGAGGAGCAGCTTCGAGAACCACAGGACGGACCCCACAGCATCAATTCTCCTCAGCCTGGAAAAAACAAGAGACACATGACTTTGTAGAGCTGGTCTTTGGAGAAATTAAAACTGATGTTGGACAATGACTACCCTACAAACAGGGTGGTGGCTGCTTACCTCCCAGGTCCAGCTAAGAAGATAGCAGTGAGACAAGTCAAAAGGCCGACAGAGACAACAGCCAGCTGACTGTCCCTTCCCTGCTGCCAAACTAGTGTGGCACTTTCAATGGTCCCGTTCGGCAAAAGCTCCTTTAGACTCTGCCATACAGGCACATCTCCACTCCTTTCATTGCTGGAGGAGGAGATGTTGGAGGGTTTCGGAGGAATAACCCCACCACTCAATGTCAGTGGGTCCACTGGCAGAGTAGACTGGTCTGGGGACGGGTATATAGAAGTAACCAGGAGGAATGCACATATAAGGAAGGTGAGGACCCTTAGAAGTATCACCCCGAGGGGAGGAGACACATGATGGGAGCTCTGTAGGAACAACAACATATTTTGTTTTCAGTCATTTTTAGTTTTTAAACTTGAGGATACAACTTTGTATCTTGACCTAAGTCTACACAGGGGTTGTGTAAGTCAGTTGAACAAAACCAAGAAAATACCTCTTTACACTAAATCAACTGGTGTGTCTTTATTAAGACTGAAATAAACTTACATGGCGAAACAGAGTTGCAACCCACCTGCTCCCCTTCTGGACTCATTCCTTTTGCTAAATCTATTCTGAACTTTATTAATGCCAAGTAGTATTTAAAATCATAACCAAACCTCATCTATGAAAGCCAAACCTTTCTGAATGCCTTTCATTATTTTTTAGCCGTTCTAAAAATCAAAGATTAAGCCTGAAAACGGCGGCTCTGTTACGGTTATGTTAATCCAAGTCTCATCAGTCATATAGGAGGTATGCATCTTTTGCACCTTAAATTTATTATAGTTTAAGTGGGTTTTTAAAGAACTTCAATTTAATGTGTGATGATTTAGTCTGACTGAACTACATAAATAACAAGCCACAGCATATAGTTACAAACCACATCTTGTTGTGATTCATGTGGTTATGTGGCTTGGAAGTCTGTGCATGCTCTGAAGCCCAGAGGCTAAACTCTTTAAACAGCAATTGCAGATTTGACTTCTACCCTATGATGATAAAGGTGGGAAAGCTTTAAAATTGCTTTAACAATGAAGTTCAGATAAGAGTGCCTGTATGATGCCACCTTAATGCATCGCACAAACCTAAGCAAAGTGGCAGCTGGCTGGACAGGCTGCATATGTTGCTCCTTAATGGGACATAATGCCTGAGTCATATATTCTTCTATGAATTATTATTTATTTATAGCTTTTGTTAACCGTCCTTAAACTTGCACTTGGGAAAGCACTGTACCTCGATGAAGCTGTTGGCTGAATCTCGGGTGCGTCTAAGCTGATGGCTTAGGAGCACAGTTCGAAGCTGTCGGTTCTGATATTTTATGTAATATTCCACTGCTGTCTGACAAGGCCTACATAACTTATAAGTCTGCTCCAGATGGTGCTTGTAGGCATCAATTTCCTCATCATAATTCTCCTACAAAAGAACAAAGATAGTGCACCAGGTATTTAGAGATGTCAGACATTTTGCAATCAAGCCAGTGTCTTGATGAACAGAAAAGAAAACTGTGCATACCTCGTCTCTTGGGATAAATGAGGCCAGTAGTTTGACCTTCGCCGACTGGTTGTTATTGCACTTCTTGCACAGCAGCATCTCACAGTTGACCCACTGCTGTGTGTTTGGTGTCACAGATGCAGGAATACTGCCACATACTCCATGGTTCAGATGCTCACTGTGTTGCGCAGGGATGGGTTTGTTGTAATCTCCATTCTAAAAAAAAAAGTTACATGAGAAGTTCAATACACACATCTTACAGCTGAGACAAAAGGAAATAGTTGAAAAAGTTTTTGAACATGCTTATTCAATAACTTTCAGATGAAGCTTACTTACAGTCTGAAAGCCATTGTACTGGTCACAGTTGGGGCAGTCCCAGCAGTTTCTGTTCCCATAGGGCACCACTGTGTTCTCATTACAGAACCAACAGTTCACATTTGCATGGACCGGCTTCTTTCTGAAAATCAGAGGTCGAATATTTACAAAATATAACTTGACATTGTTTATGAAACTTGAAAACGCATCTTTGTTGCAACTTCGTGGGTGTTTATCACAGTGAGATTTAATTTAACTCTAGAATATCTTCTCGAGTTTCTGACATGTGAGGTCTTTCAAGTATTAAAGTTATGACGGTGACTTTAAAATGCAGCAAATCCTACGTTCACCGTTGCATTAAAAATATACATTAACTAGCATATGAACATATGAGCAACCCAGTGCAACCGAATACAGCAAGTAGTACCTTGATTTCCACGTTTACAAGAACTGTGCATGTTTGATATTTGATGATATTGTCAGACAGCTGATCGCTGTTCATTGACTCAATTGTTGAAGTTTGTGATCGGTGTTGGTGGTGCACAGGGGTGAACTACAACACAGCTGTTCCTGATATTTCGCTCCCCTCGTCTTCGTTTGGGAAGTCGACATAGTAAAAAAGTCAATGTCTGCATGCTATGGCTTCAACGAAACCAAGTGGTCTCATCTTATTAAATTGTGAAACAATATTAGCATATTACTAAAAAAACCTAAGTATTGTTGAAGTTAGTTAGCATGACTGCTAGCATAGTTAACGTTACCGCTCGTGCTAGCGCGCGCTGTATAGATAGATTAGAGATGAAAACTATTGAGTGTTTTTGTTGACCACATGAAACACTGAACGACACAATATTGATCCATTGCTATATAGTCAAAACTTGAACTGGTTTTAACGTAAAGGTCGCCAAAACAAACGCGCTTCGCTGTGCAGAACCATGAAGTTACCTGGTGGCAATTTTGTAGATCAGCGCTCCTCCGGTCACAAACGCCGTAACTCCTATTCCAGTGTACATTAACTCGGGATATCCTGCCACAAGTTCATGAAACGTTCCCATATTGTATGAACTTGGTGGGAGATTAGCTAACAAAACATGAAAACCGTAAATTTACGCACACTACCATGAAATTCAGCAGCAAGGCGCACGCGGCAAACAAGTTCCCATGATATACGCCCATGCAACGGAAACGGAAATGGCATCATGGCCTGGCCGCGTTCCGTTACCTTTTTCCCCCTTTTCTAAAGCGTACACTTCACGAAACAAACATTAATGAATCAGTGGTCAAAGATTTTAAATATTTCTCCACAGTTCTTCTTTGAGGATCACTGTTTCTCCGATGTAAGCATGAAACACAAATGTTGGTAAGTTCTGAGTTACCGTGCAGGGCTGTAAAAACCAAGAACCGTAGTGTTGGAATGCGGCAGCGCTGTTAATATTTCTCCCGCAACCATTAAAGATTGTCAGCATTGAACTCCGCCTCCGCTTATTCTACTACCTAAACGTAACTTTTACAATCATGATACAACAACAATACAACCTAAAAACAGAGTTTAGTCATACGATTTGGATGCAAAAATAACATTTTATTTGAACACACACGATGTATCGTACATCAAACATTCCATTCAGACTCGAACAAGGAAACTCATCAGTGCTTCAGTGATGTGTAGCCTACAGGCTAGCAGCTCGATGCAATTACATAAATTCAAAGAAAACTAATAAATAAAATGATAAAAATGGAACAAATGGAACAACATATTTTCCAAAAGGAATATAAATTTTTTTCAAAACGAAGAAAAAACAAACAAGGATGAAAATACAAAGATTTTCTAACTGGGTGAAAAATGACCCAAACACACTACAATGACCAAGTAAACAACGCCCTGGGTTTGAACCGACTGTTCATTTTCTTTGGCAGTGTAATTTTTAAGCAACAAGGCGTATGCCTTTCAAACAGGCATAAAATGGCGTTTAAATCTGAGGTCAATCATAAAGTTTTGCATGAATCATAACAGCCACTTAAACTGCTAAACGGAGTTTAAAGAACTTGGCTTTTCATCTTTTCCTGACAAACATTTGACAGTCGAACTGAAATGGTGAAACAAATTAACTTTAAGTCCTTGAACTCGCTGTCAAAAGTCAGAAAACGCCAAATCTACTGCTCAAATGACTGGGCGATCGGTGCCTCCAGTTGTCTCGCATATGAAGGGAACTGCTGGTGGCTGCACGCCACAGGCACGGCGCTTCCCTCGGGGCTCATTGGCGGGGTCACTCCGCTGTAAGGACATACGTTGTGGGGGACCAGCACGGATGGGTGGTGATGGTAAACACCGTATGGAGAGTGGTAGAGGTGGGGAGATGGGCAGAATGGATATCCTGCGGCTTGGGAGCCTGGACTGCAAAGACCCCAAGAGGCGCTCAAAAATGGCTCAAGATAGAGCGAGTTGGGCAGCTCCGTGGAGTTTCCGGTCATGTAGTTCACACTCGGTGCTCCATAAGGTCTCCTTACCCTCCTCCGCCGCCGGTAGTTTCCCTTCTCAAACATATCCTCAAATGCGGGGTCCAACATCCAGAAGTTGCCTTTCCTGTCCGCTCCACTTTCTCGGGGGACTTTGACGAAGCACTCATTCAGAGACAGATTGTGTCTTATGCTATTCTGCCAACCTTTCTTGTTCTTCTCATAATAGGGGAAATGATTCATGATGTAGTTGTATATTCCGCCCAGAGTTTGTCGTTTTTCGTGGCTGTCTTTGATGGCCATGGCGATGAGCGCAACGTATGAGTACGGTGGTTTGTCCTGCTGGCTGGACACCTCCTCCGCATCTTTTGGCTCAGGTGGGAGCGAGTTGGTGCTGATGTCCAAGAGCTGCACGCCCTCATCGATGGGTGGTTTTTGGTCTCGATCCATTGTGGCTCAGGTATCCGCTTTGTCTGTCCTGCTGGGACTAAAAGCTGCAGTTTGCAGAAGCAAGGCAGTGGCTTGTGTCTGCAGGTGCACACACTCCTCCCACAGGTGGAGAGCGCCCCACACATCGCCTTCTTTAATCTCGCAGAGTTTGCTACTGTTTAACACTTCAGCGCAGGCTGATGAGGTTTGCCACAGTGGATCAGAAGGATCAAAGGCTTCATGCAAAGTGCATTTTGTCTGATGTTCAATGCTGCTACAATTTGAGAAGGTCAGATACCACACAGGGTCAAATCGCAGACTTTTAATAATAACATTCCATCTTTTTGAAGTTGAAGTTATGCTCAGTTTAAAGAGTGTTTTCAAATTATATTTCTAGTGATCCAATGCTCAACCACCCAAAGGGGACACCTACCCATCTATGCAGGAGTTTTTTGTTAATGATAAATTGAAATTTATTTTATTCATTTAGTCTTGATGTACTTTATGACATCTGGACAACGTTTTTGTCTTTCTATACTGATGCAATAGCTATTCACCTAACCAACTTCAGTCAAGTCACAGGCACATGGCTGAATATTTCCTCGGTCTGCAAGGACAAGTTTGTAGGTTTGCAGGTATTACAGTCCAACATACCACCCACATAAAGCATGAAAAGCAAGCCTGTCTGTCTGCTGAGGATGGGAGATAATGATCACCTGCCTTCAGCAGACAGTCTGTCTCCCCTAGACTGATAGAGAAACCCAGATCTCAAAAACTGAACAACCAGTTGAAAAGCAACAATGGCATACTCCTCGACAAGGATCACATGCAGGGCAATTGTGTTGGCTGTTGTGGCTTTAAAGTAATAATCAAACTACTTATAGAGTTTACTGTTTGTTATGGTCACCCTGCACTGCAAACAACATTGTTTAATAAATGTATCAAGTATATACAACCAAGATGGAAATATGGTATTGTAATATATTTGAATGAATTCCAGGAGTTTATGAGAAAAGTTAGGCTTCATAGGTAAGTTCATGCCTCCAGAACATATTATGCCTACACCTGCCAAGAATTGATCCTGATAGATACATGCATTTCTCTGTCCTGGGAGTTTTGTTGATTTTTGACAACTTAAAATACGTGAAAAGGAAGAGGCCTTTCAAAGAGGAAACTGTAAATTTACCTCCTGATGTCATATGAGCAAAGTAGGGCACCATCTTAAGCACAATCCGTGGTTTCAGCTATCTGAGACAGAGAAGGAATGCAGAAAAACTGTCAAAAATCATGAAAACTGGGTTACGATGTTTGAGGAATAAAAAGTTGTTCACAACAAACACACTTAAATGTCTCTCAATCCTGAATAAGTACAAAAAGAAAAGTTAAATGACTGGCTCAAGAACTGTGGCTGCATTTTCAAGTGATACAAACCTAAATATAAAGAGTGATTTATTTCCGCTGACGATAAGATAAAAGTCTTCTTCAGTTTTATTTTCTGTTTTCATTCAAAAAAGGGTGTTTTAAAGCAAATGCAAGAATAAAATCAACCACACCTCTACATGCTCTTGTTAAAATGAGAGGTATCACAAAAATACCATATTTTTCAAACAGTGACACAATAACATACGTGTGTCTCCATTATGAGACATAACAACTGGCTGAAAATTTGAAATAAAATAGCAACATTGACATTTACTTTGAAATAAACTGTTCATTTACGGTACTTATAATTTGTGTTTTTATGTCTATGGGGATAATACAAAAAGGCCAAGTCAAACGTGCACACATAATGTGTGTGCATTGGTATGTGTGTGTGTCCCAGATATGAACAAATGCTGGTGAGAACTGCCAACAGGTGTGGTTCCCGTGAAAGCTGCTTTGGTTGAAACATGTATTCAGGGGTGAGGGAATACATGACAAATGAGCCTACATCTGACCTTATTTTATCCTAAAATTGAAAATCATACCATTCAAGTGAATGATCACTGTAAACTGGGAACACAGCAGATGTCCTTTAGTTTCATACAACACCCCAGAACTGTTGTGTCAGCCTGAAAACCGATGTAACAAACTCAATTTTTTTGAGAGGAAAACACGTCATTGGTCTATTTTTGCTTCATCACAAAAGTATGATGCAGGAAAAGCTCTGGTAAAAGTAAGAAAATAGTCTCATAATTAAAAAATCTTGTAAATTTTTTTGTTGTCTTTCTTACTTATATGTTATGATATTCTGTTTGTTTGTGATAAATACGATCACCAGCTGTCACACTGTTCTCTTGAAAGAAAAAACTGCTTTCCACTAGCAACAATCAGAAACTTCCCTGAAGTCATACCACAAATACCTTTTATGCACAGATGGTGACTAAACAGCTGCACTGGTCTAGAACAACAACTTGTTTTAACAGATCAGGTGGCTCAACACCTTTAACTTGTTCTCTTCCTGCATGCTGACATGGGCCTGGGGAAGGGTTGAGGAGCTTTCATGCCAGGAGGCTATAAAAAACCTCTTGTTGTTGAAATATAGACAACAGATCACAGTGATGTTTGTAGGTGAGATATATGATATGTGGCTGCTGCTGATTTCTTCCAGTATTATTCTCTCACTGAAGACTGCCGCAATGCAAATCACATTAAACACTACATTTTGACTTGACATGTTGGTTAAGCTCATACTTATAGCAGTTGTTAATTATGAAGATTCATGACAGCATCAAAGATGAGCTAACACTGGGAATAAAATGGAAAGAAGAAATAACAAAGCTAAATGGAATAGGGCCGTCATTCCTTTTATCATTTACACCTGTGCCATTCCTGCTTTAACCCTTCTGATTTCCTCAAAAATCAACAGTACTGCCAGCTGTTCCATTTAAAAGTGGTGGTTTATTTGAGATTTTGTGGTTGATAAGATAGTAATTTGTAAGAAAATGAACATTATCCAAACATAACTTCTTTAGAAATTCACTTTACTGGCAATCAGTGTAATGGAAATATACTGGATCATACTGCAACATGGCAAACTTCAACTATCCATTGTTATTTTTAGTCCTGCTCTCCCTTCTCGTAATATTGTGTCATAAGGAGCTCATTACTTAATGACATTTTTGCACAGAAAACAAACATGTATTTGACTGCAGCAATATGACCAGGTATGAAATCTGACTCACCTGGGCACCTGTACAGCTGTAATCAGTGATAAAAGGGAACACTGTATATGTTGTGGCTTCCAACTGAACACTAGTATCAGATTGCATCTGATGCTTTGATTTACAGTGGTCATTTTGGGCACCAGTCCCAGACCTCCCTAATCCTAGGATTACAGTAAACCTGACTTCCCTCTGATAGTGACAGACCTAACAACACAGGTGTTTTGATGTGATCAGATGGACCAAAAGTCAACACAGGAGAGTCACAGATACTGTTTGTGTCCTCTTACTATGTACTTGATTTCACAGGTGATGAATATGATCATTTTTTCACTCCCCTGACACTGTTTGCTGGGTGAAATCCCAGGCAAGGTGTGGCTTTCTCTGAGGTGATGAGATGTTACAGTTCAGTTAAAAGTGCAGTGATATGTTGTTACTCCCACGATACATCTCTCTAATAAACCTGAAACCTTTCCACAGTTTCAGTTCTGAGATCAAAACAATAAGGCCATTCTCTCCTGTCAATTAACAAAGTATGAACTCTGCCAAGATAAAGTCAAAAAAGTTTCATCAGTGATGGATTGTATGCTGACAGCTCTTTACCACTGGAATGATGATAATCTACACAGATAAGCATAAGTGCCAACCCATTTGCCCTCTCAGACTTGACAGGTGCCCTTATGTGTAGTGTTTATTGAACTAGGCAAATATTATGCTTTATCTTTTATCAGTTATCATGTGTTAAATAAATACAATGTGGGGGAGATTTACTCATTACATACTGTTAAAAAATTAACTTATTACACTCTCATAACAAGGCCACCACTGTGGTTCTCAGTATTTTTTAAATGTCATTAAAAAAGCCTCTGGGTGTTTTCTGGTTTGAGATTTTTGTGGTCTAAACTGAACTTGTTTGCGCCAAGAGTAGAGCTGCTGGTTTGGCTCTGTTCAGTTGTGGCATTACTCAGGTGTTGTAATAGGGAACAAAAGATTATTTCTTGGGGGAAATCCCACAATAGTGCAAAAACAATCCACAAACAACAAAGGTACATTTCTGCTCTTTACTTTAATTCTATCTGTCAAATGTTTTCTCTGCTGACTGCAATGGAAAGAAGACTCAAAACCCTATCAAGATTGTGTTGCTGCTTAAGATCTGTTTGCTCTAAAATTGAACTAGAATGGCATTTCCCCCCAAAAATAATTGTGAGCATTAGTTGTTCTAATCTTGTGTAGCTTCTCTAGATGTTAAACTCTGCTGAAATTATTGGTACATCACATAAAAGATTGTTTTACAAATAGCCACAAGAGGAGGAATGAGTAATCCACTTGCAGATGAGGATCTTCTCCACCTAATCAACACACTTGTAGTCAAACATGTTTTACTGCTTCTACTCTGTTCTCTAGATGCAATAACTTGAAATCACTCATTTTCAATCACTTAATTTGGTACTGAACATGTCTCCTGTCTTGCCTATTTCCTCAGCCTGGATTCAACCTTTGCCCTTTGTATGCTTCCCTTGCTGTTATGCAAAAGTTTAGCTGCGGCACTGTTGCTCCATCCCACAGAACATTTGGAAATATAGAGGCTGATCTCAGATCTGAGGTTTGTGACATCTCACTGACAAATGACTTCTATGTAACTCGTCTGAGCCTCTCCCTGCTGCCATGAGATACGTGACTGAGGTCAGATCACAATCAAATGATAAGGGCACTGCCAAATACCAAACTTGGCTAGATATTTACAACATGTTCCCACAGGAAAATACTCTGCAATTTGTGCACCCTACCGTTTACTATTAGCCCAATTAATAAAAACCTTAAGATTGCTTGTATTAAAGTTAATCAAGTCTTTTATGCAATCTTCCAAACTTAATTCAA